TCATCAACTAAATTTCCAAGTAATTATGGAATTGATTTGATTAGTGATAATGATTGCATGTGTTCAAGGAAATCACATTCATCTGATACTCTTTTGGCAATCCCAAAAAAAAAAAAAAAGTCATTTTAATTTTTTATTTTTTTTATTTTTATCATTAGTGATTTTTTTATTATAAAAAGTATGTCAGATCTTTTTTTGATTTATTTTCCTGAGACGAATATAAAAAGTATGTGTTTTTTTGAAAAATTTTAATTTTTTTTTTAAAAAAAGGCCAAAATAAACTAAAAAATATTACTTATTTTTGTCTTTTTTGAATATTTTTTAGATTTTTTTTTAATTATAAATTTCCAATTCTTGTTACACAATGCAAGTTTTGTTTTTTGTAAGTTTTTTTTATTTTAAATTTTTTTATTTTTATTTTTATCATTAGTGATTTTTTTATTATAAAAAGTATGTCAGATCTTTTTTTGATTTATTTTCCTAAGACGAATATAAAAAGTATGTGTTTTTTTGAAAAATTTTAATTTTTTTTTTAAAAAGGCCAAAATAAACTAAAAAATATTACTTATTTTTGTCTTTTTTGAATATTTTTAGATTTTTTTTAATTATAAATTTCCAATTCGATTTGTCGAGGTGAATCTAGAAATCTAAATTTTTAAAAAATCACGAAAGATAAAAATAAGCAAAAGAATTAAGGTTTATGAATCATAGAGAATTTCAAAATATTTATAATTTTAATATATTGTTTACATATAAAGAATACTTTTATATATTTTTATACAAATTAGATATGTTCTTTTTTGTAAGAGTTTTGTTAACATTTGCCCTAAGAGAATATTAAACAAAAGTAAAAGTAAATTTTCACTTGGGACAAGCTTATAAGCTAACTTATTGGCTTATTTGGTTTATATCATCCATCTACTTTTTACATATGTTTTTTTTATAATAAGTTAAAAAATAAACTTATGAATCACTTCCCAAAATAATCAAGCTAATAAATCTCCTCATATATATATATATATATATATATATTTTTTTTTATATGGACAAAACTTAATGGGGTAGGAAATTGACAATAAACTTATTAACTATTACAATGTGGCGTGAAAGGGAATGGAAACATATCGGATTTTTTTGCGTTTCGTGTGTAAATTTTTAATTTTAAACTTAATTATTTTATTCATTTAATTTTATATTTTATCTTAAATTTGAGAGTTTTGACCTATTTATTAGGAACGTAAGAAAAATCGAAAAAATTAACTAAATTGATTGAACCCAACCAAACATACTTTACCCTACCCTATCAATGCTCTCCCAAATATATTTTTTTTATTAAAATTTAGTGGAGATAAATACAATCAGGTCAGATAATTTTGCTATCATAGGCTTGTCTAATTGTTATCGGTTTATTTTATTTTATATTTTATAATTTATGTACAGTATCTCATTATTTTTTTAAAAAATCCAAATTTAAAAAGAGTTCTAGAATATTTTTATGTTGGTAGGGATAATTTGGTCATTCAGGTCAAACTTTTTCCTTATTATCTACAATTTGAAATCTCACACTCTAACTAGCAAACAAATTGTTGGTGCCCTTGTATTCTCCTCATTTTCCAAATTAAAAAAAAAAAAATCATATAAAATCAAGTAAGGTGAAAAGATGTAAGAAAAAAAAAGAGGAAATAAAAGGCTAAATTGGAAAGAAAGTAACAAGGGTATTTTGGTCTTATTATAAAAAATTATCATTTAATTTAGACTATAATTTTTTGATGGTGCTATATGCACTAATTAACATACACATTAGTGTTCTAACTAATATTATGTCATTATTACTGACTCCACATATTATACAAATTACAAATATTTAAAATCTCTAAAATTATACCATATCACCTGTTAGTATATTAATTAATACATTAATTGACACATATAAACATTATTCTTAATTTTGTACTAATACATAGGGAAGGCTTTGGCCTCATTATAAAAAATATTATTTAATTTAGACAGCATTTAATTTCTTACTACTTATACAAACAGAAGTAATTGTACATATTTTGAAGAATAGCGCTGTTTCAGACCCTCAGTGACGTGGCGCGCTATCATTCGTTGAAAAAAAAAAAATAATTTTTTTTTAGGTCAATCACGAGTCTACACGCACGACCCCCAGTGACCCTCACTGGGAGTCTTAGGTATTTTTCTTTTAAGAATATAGTTAAAAGTTACTTTTAACATTTTTTAGCGAGGGAGAAGTGGGTTAAAATGTTAACTTTTAACCCACTTTTTAAAATAGTCCTTAATACTGCGTTAACATGCTAACCAAAAAAAAACTTGTTTCGTTCCTACAATTTCAATGGGGCTTGTCTCAATTGTTTAATTATTATTATTGTTTTTTATTTTTTTGTAGAATTTTAAAATATAACACGTTTGGTAATTATTTTTTTTAAAAAAAATATTAGTAAAGAAATTGAGTGAGTTCTTAGGTTTGATTTTGAATCGTTATGATAAATGAAATTTAAATATATTTTAAAATTTATTAGTTTTTCAACCAAAACTTGAATGAACTATTATTTGATAAAAAAAGTAATTACTCAAGCTCGGCTTGAGATTGACTCAATTATATGTTATTTAAGATTGACTGAGAAGGTACAATAATAAAAATTAAACACATTTAAAGCTTGTTAAAATTTAAAGGGAGAATTACATTTATTAAGATATAATTTGTTTTTTACACAAACAGGAGGGGCGCAAGTCACACTTATACCTCTACAACTTTTCATTTATATCTCATCACAGAATTACTTACACCCCATATGTTTTTGTAATTTTTTTTCATTTTTTTTTTGAACTATAAAAAAAGATATTCTGAGGTGTCATCACTACAACCGTAGGCCCATGGTTGCCAGCCTGATTTAACCCAACCCATAGGAAGGGACCTACCATCGAGGCACCCAGGATTTTTTGCCCCCCCCAGGAGTCGAACTTGACTCATGGTTGTAGGAAGGCAATGGCATCACCACTGAGCCACCACCGTCGGTAGTAATTTTTTTTCCTCTATCCCACTTTATTGTAATTTCCTCAAATTTAAGCTAAACCTAGACATTTACAACTGTAGTGAGAATGTTTAGATCTATCTCCCTTCATTGATGTCCACAGTTGTGCTTCATTTTAAAATAGGTATTCCTAGCATTGTTGACATTTTTTATAAGCATTCATCGTTAATCTGCTTTATAGATCCTTTATTTATTTTATTTTTATAATTATTTACACAATAAAAATATGTAGTACTCATCATATTAAAAAATAATAATAAATTATATGTATTGAATTAACATAAGAGTTGAAAAAACTGATGATATGAACTTGTTACTTTTTAAGTGTAATTCAACTAGTAGATGGGGCACAAAAGAAAAAAAATATAGATTTAACAAATTATGAAATCGTAAGCAATAATAATGGAGAAATATCATATAAAATATCATTTAGTTGTACATTACAAATTTATAGACAATAAAACAATCACCATAAAATAAATAATGGTTTTGTGTATATACACCATCCCATCCTGAAATTGATTCGTCCTAATCAAAATCTTTGATGTTTGTTAGGTTGTTTCACTAGACAAAACTATGCACAATTAGGGCTTGGCATGGTTCAACAAAACCAAATAACTACTTCCGGTTTTATTAAATCTAAAATTAAATCGAATTACAAAAATATTGGAACAAAACAAACTGAACTAGAAAAATGTGGCTTGGAATCATGGTTTTTATAAAAATTTTCATCAATCGTAACATGATTATGACTTACTAAAAAATGAAACAGTCATATTATCATTTTACAAACAAAACTATTTAAATGATTGTTTAGAACTAATTATAATATTATACATACTTGTAAAAGCAAAAGGCTAACAAATTATGAATGTGTATTGAATACTAATAAGGTACTTCAGTGTCTATTATAAATAACAAATTATATATATTTATATATATTTAAATGGTCTAGTGAAATAATGATTCACCTACTTTAAGAATTAAAATCTAAGTATGTATTGAGAAAATCAAATCAAACCATGTGATTTGGTCTATATTGAAACGATTTGTAATTTTTTTCTCAACCCTAACTTTAGGGATGTATTTATAATGGGATTAGACTGTCTTCAGTTCATAATCGGACTAGATAGTCTAGTTTGGCCTAATGGCTTACTTTTGGATTTCATTTTGATAATTTGAACCTTTCATATTTTAAAATTTGTCAAGTACATTATTCTTGCAAAAAATAAAGTCGATTGAATAACGAAAACCAGGTGTTTGAATCTATTTTGTACGAACAATTTATTTTCTCATCATCTATTTTTTTCATTTAAAACTGATTCAAACATGTGATTGTCGTTATTTGATCGACTTAATTTTTTACATAAATAAATATATTCAATGAATCTTAAAATATAAATAATTTAAATCATTAAAATTGAACCCAAAAAAAAAAAAACGTTTATAAGGTCCAACAATACCTCCCCAATTCAATGAAAGATTATGGAGAAGGGAAAATGGCTCATACACCCATTGGGGGTCGACCCCCAGTGAGGTGGCACTCCATTATTGGTAAAAAAAAAACTATTTTTATTTTTATTTTTTCTATAAATTTCAACCAGTGAGGGCGTGACACCTCACTGGGGTGCGACCACCGGGGTATGCAGCACGGTTGATAGAGAAGCCATAGCCTTTACAATTCACTAAAAAAAAATTCTACAAAAGTAAAAGCAAAGGATAATATAGACATTTCAGAAATAGAAATAACAACAGCAATAGCATATATTCGGCATATAAAAGCAAAGGATAATATAGACATTTCAGAAATAGAAATAACAACAGCAATAGCATATATTCGGCATATTAATATCTGAAATTAAAGAATATCCTGAAGGGTACTTTGGGTATAATAATTTATGTCCTCTTTTCTCGTGCGTACCTTAACTTCTTCATATCTCTCTTTGACCTTCGTACTCTCTCTCTCTCTCTCTCTCTCTACCTTTTTTTTTATTTTTTTCTCTCTCCTTTTTTCACTCTCATCACCGCCTTTTCACCGCTGTTGCAGACTCTGCCACTCCAAGTGTAATCTATACATACAAACACATATATCTATCTGCCTTTTTAGTGAGAGAAAGTAGAGAGAGAGAAGAACAGTAAACACTCAATCTCTTCCCTCCTTCGCTCTCTGAGTTCAGAGTCTCTCTCCGATCCGACGGCCACGATCTTCTCGTCACCTAATCGTACGGACAGCCTTCGCTTGTCAGCCTCTTCTACGTAAGTCACCCTGAACAACATGCCTTTTTGCGACACCTCTCTCTCTCTCTCTCTCTATATATATATATATATGTACAGAAACTGTACGTTATGTTTGGTTCATCGATATTTCAATATTTTTAGTGAGTTTATTTCATTTTTAAAATGTAAAAATCCATACGGGTGCAATTTAGGGTGGCGATAGATTTTTAAATTTGAAAAAAAAGATTTAGAATTACATGCAGTGGATAAAATTTTGATAGCGTAAAGGGGTTTGTTGAATTTGAATGATATTATACAGTCGAGAAAATGACTAGATTTGTTTTGTTTTCTATTTATTGATTTGATATAGTTTTATTTATTTATTTATTGATTTGTATTATCTACAGTGTTCACTGTTTGGTGTTTACATAATTTCGTGGTCAAAGAGAAGTAAGGTAGATATGATATGTGGGGTATTGAATTGTAACAGTTGTTACATTTTAATTATATCCACAACTTGACATTAGAATCAATAATCTTGGTCTTATATGATGATTTTGATTACTGTTTGACATCTTTTCTGATTTTTTGCTTTAGTGGTGAGGTGTTGGAATAGATTGATTATATGTTTTTCAATATCATATTGAATTGAATTGTTGACCGCCGATTCATTTAAAAACTTAAGTTTTAATTTTTATATTAAGCCGACGAAGAGTGATATAAATTGTAATTACCATAATAGAGAGGTTAGTAGAGAGAAAGATCTAAGCTGGCACGGGATGCTGTAGTAAAAAAAATATGAATTAATTTAATTTAATTGAGCATATTGTATTTGATAGAGCAAAATGGCGTAAAATGATTCATTTAGCTGATTCCACTTGATTGGGACACTAGGCTAGTTTGGTTTGGTTTGGTTTGGTTTATCCTCAATACTACAAAATTCTTCTAGAACGGTCGTGGTGTTTTGGTTTTGTAATATGTAGAAGCTTAATAACATTAAGATTTATGTTTATTGATTTTGAGTTAACTACATGGTTGCATGGCCTTAATTGAAAATTGATTTTGTAAAGCAGTGATATGCAATTAATTGGAAAGTCATGAGCAGTATATTTAGTAGTTTAGTTAAAAATAAGCTAAGTTATTAAGTTGCTTTGGTGGTAGTTTGTAGAACAGCCGAGTGGGAATTGCGCTCCACTTTCAAAATTGCTGCAGTTAAGTTTAGATGTCGACGTATGTGGTTGATTTGCATTGTGTAGGTTATCCCTATTCATGGATGTGATTTTATTTGTAAACCAGCTGTTTTATTTGATTTGCATTGTGTAGGTTATCCCTATTAATGGATGTGATTTTATTTGTAAACCAGCTGTTTTATTGCTATCTTCTTCGGCTATGCCCTTTTTAATGTGATAACTAGAAATCATATGTATCTGTCAATCATGGTGGCTACTGTTTATTTATTTTATTTCTTTGGTTGTTTAAACTAAGGCCTAGTTTGGGAAGACTAAATAAGTGCACTTTTTGACTTTTTATGAAATATGGGTTGGGTTTGGGTTGGGTTTGAAGTGATGTGTTAGAGAGGTGATGAAACTTAAATAAGATGATGTGACTTAAATAGGATAGTGACTTTTTGACTTTTTGTCTTTTTTCAATCATGCCAAACTTGGCCTAAAATTGTTTGTGCACAATGTTCTACTCTTTTTTATTTTTTATTATTATTATTTTTTTTCAATTTGCTGTAGACTATCAGAATAACTTTTTGTTAGTGCAAATTGATGACTTATGTGTATGTTGGTTGTGGTTTTCTGGTTATGTGTCACAAGGGGAAACATAGTTTTCTGTTGGCTTATGTTAATTTTAATGATGTTGGTTATGGTTTTGAGGTAATCTTGGCCATCTGACTTATGTGTTATTAGAAAATAATGGTTTATTGTTCATCTTCCCTCTTTAGAATATTATTGTTCTCACCTATGTATTGATTTGTATGATGTTGGAGAATTAATGATTATTTTAGTTTTTGTGTTGTCTTGTTTGTGTCTCATAACCTGCAACTACAATTCTCATTGTTTTATAGTCTGCAGTAGGCAAGTGGCATTTCTTTAACACTGGGTCTATGGAGCTTAATGGTGATAGAAGGGCTCGAAGAAAGGATCGCACTGCACAGGAAAATGGTGATGTGAGGTCATTAGCTTCTGCTGAAGAGCTGGATCCATGGACTGCATGGGCATACAAACCTCGTACCATTTCGTTGTTACTTGTCGGTGCATGCTTTCTTATGTGAGTTTCTTGCACTACAACCAGTGTTTATTTAGATATTCTGCCAATTCTGCGGTTTCATTACTTGATAGTTGAACTCACTAAAATTGGTGGACCTGTAGATTTTTTCCCTTTAGTTGGTCCTAAATTCTGCTGGTTGTGGAAAGTTCAATTGATATTTTTTGAGCATTTAAATTTGTGAGAGTACTAAAGTTTGGTGAATATCTAAATGATTAAAGCATAAATTCTACGTCTACTTAATATTAATTACCAGTCCAAGTTAGTGTAAATATACCATTAGAACCTTTAAGGTTTGCAATCAAGCCATCGTTCTTGTTGTGTGAATATTTAATTTGGCCTGCAAAATTGAAATTTGCTACCTTATTTGACCTTTTGAAAATCATGCTCTTCAGTTAAGTGTTGGTTTTAAAATTCATATTTATGGATTATGGTTCTATCTCATGTGATGATATATCCGAATTTCAAGTTAAATGCTACATTATGGCATTTGACTACATACCCATTGGTTCCTGTCACTGTAAATGATATGGTTACTTAACAGTATATCCAAGCAAGCAACTTTGTTGTAAGCAATTGCAAACTTAAAGCTTGGTTCTGAATTTCAGCCTTTTAAAAGCCATATCTTCCAAAAGCAATTGTTTGGAAGTTACAAGTGTTTGTTGTATATGCACGTTAGCTGCAGGCTCCTCATTCTTCAGCAGTGATTTCAAATTAGTGAAGCATGTGTGCCAGATGTTAATAGTGAGGTGAATTGAATAATCGATTCTCTAGGATTCTTGCAAAACATCCTAAAGGTTATTATTTTGGTTCAAGTGTCAGTAGTTATTATCGATCCTAGAGTTGCACATTGCTCTTATGACCTTCTATATATTTAGTTACTTGAGTGTATAAAATAGCATTAATTAAACTTGTTTAGCCATTTCTTGCTTGTGCATAATGCAATTAAGAGATGGCTTTAGATATTTACTGTTGAATACATTCATCATAAATGGCCATGTCTTCTTGAATGGTGCATCTTATTTATGATTAAAATTCCCAAATTTATGTCTTCGTAGCTGTATTGGGTTGTAATTATAGCGTTGGATCTTTATTGGAATATATTAACTCGTACATCCCAAATACGGGGTCATCGGGGCACTTCTCTAGTTGTGCTCCTACTGGGCTTTTGTATTGTTCTTTTCAAAGTTTCCTTTGAATGCGCTGATTACTTATGTTGTCTATTTAGTTGTTGTTGTTGTTTTAATAATTTAATTTTATTTTTATCCTGCATACCTCACACCCTGTTATATGGACTCAAAACAAGTTGTATCCACCGGCTCAAATCTCCAAAAGGACTGGCTAACGGTTTTTTGGCAAGCAAGTCCCTATTTGTGTTGTTCTGCTTTTGGTCTCACTTAATTTTGTCAATCACCTTTTCTTTTTCTTTTTTTCACAAGGCCTGGTGATAACGGGGTTCCTTGTGAAGAACTATGGTATCCCATAATCCTGCTTTTGCTGTTGCACTGTTGGCATAAATTTGTGCTTTGCTTATATTGCAGTTTCTTTTTAGATTGTTGAAAAAGTCCCTAGTCGATTAATTTTTGATTTATTTATCTGTGTGTGCTTACCAGTTGGGCAAGTGGTGCTCTTGATCCTGAAAACAGTTCATCTGGTGATATTATTACTTCTGTGAAAAGGTTTGTGCTTGTTATGTGTATCACTTATACTATTCTAGTACTCCACAAGTTTTGAAATGCCTTAGTGGGTGTTGTGTTTGATAGGGGCGTATGGGCGATGATTGCAGTTTTTCTTGCTTACTGCTTGCTTCAAGCTCCATCAACGTAAGTTGCACAATGTAGTAGTTGTAAATAAATTGGAGATTTGAGGATACCTAAAGCAGTATTTAGTTGCTCTTACTCTTCACATATTTGATTCTTAATTGTACATTGTTTTAGTATTTAGGAGGATCAGAATTGACTTGCATTGCATGGTTCTCACACTTGAGAACTTCTGAGTTCCATTTTCCTTTTTGGTGAAAGCTATCTTTTGTTTTTCAGCTTCTGGATAAGAAGGTGTAAGTTAACAGAGCCGGTGTATTCTTGTCTTTTGATCTGGCAATTGAAAACTTGTCTTTTGTTGTATATCTTTTTCTTTTTTTCAAATGGGAAGAGAAATTGTGTTGATGTCAATTATTAGGAACTTTATAAGGTTCTTTTTTTTATGGATCAAGCAGCTCTTTGGAGAAGGGTTCTTAATGTTTTGTCTGCAATAATGAGCCTTTTTTTTTTTTTTTTGGTTGATGTCTTTGATATAAAGGAATTGGGGTGCTATTTTACTTTATTTGAATCCAGTTGTGTCGTAATTCGTAAGTACCAGACATCAATGGCAAGAGCATATTGTTTGTATTACGAAGTCTAATCCTAATGGTTTTTCTTCTTAACTTATCAATAAAAAACAATAATAGCTGAATTTTTTGGAAGAAGTATCTGTGAATTCTCAAAATGTCACTGATGTTTTTGCATGCTTTTGGTATGAAAACCGATAATACAATGCTACCTAGGATTTAATAAAACAAGTGTAATTATTCGAGCTGTCCTAAGTGGTTGTCACATAGCTGAACACAGTTGTTTTTTACCAAGTCATACTACTGTGCACACTTATATTGTGTAATACTAGATATATGCCACTTTCTTTTCATGGTATCCTCATCAATGTATCTTTTCATTTTGATTTTGTGACTTGCTCTGCTTCTTTGACTGCATGTCATCTTTAAAATGCAAATATAAAATGATAAGGCATAAAGGGACACCCAAGAGAGCAAGTGGAACTTTGGAAAATTTTATTTTGTGATTTACCTGTGTTTGCTTCTGAACGGTGATAGATTATACTTCCCGTACATTCTGTTGTATGTAAGATGGCAAAGACCAACTTCCCATTACAGTCAAACAAAGAGGGCAGAAGGACAATCTTTACTATCCTAAACTGTCCTGCTGCCCTTCTTTTTTGAACAAGATTAAGATCTGATGCATGCCCTGCAATTGCAAATTTTCAACCAAAGCCTGTCTGATGAAGGATTAGATAAAAATACAATGGGGGTAAATTTGGCTTGTATCATAGGCATGGGCTGCATGACTCGGGGTTGTAACAAATTTGGTTTTGTGACCTTGATTCATTAGTATGTTAGTTTGATTCCTTGAAGTTTCTAGTCATGTAATCATGTCATACTGCCGTCTATGTGCTTTGATGTTTGTAAATACACTTGGCTTTCTACAGGATACTTATTAGGCCACATCCTGCAATCTGGCGATTAGTTCATGGAATGGCTGTTATTTACCTTGTTGCTCTCACTTTTTTGCTCTTTCAGGTCAGTTTTATTTGTTTTACTAAAGATAACATATAAAACTTGAATTTAAAGTGTTAAAATTTTGGTGGTCTTTTTTGCTTTTCCAAACATTTCCTTACTTCATATGGTTGGGTTCAATTTTAAAGGCTATATTTGGTACCACTATCATGTTCAATTAGTTGAATATATTACTTGTTTCTTTATTTTTGTGTGTGAGAGGTTAGAGATGGTCGGTTGTTGACCTCGGGTAAGATGGTGGGCACTTCAGTGGCTTGTGATCATAGGAGGTGGAGGAGGAGAAGACCAAGGCTGGCTTAGAGATGGGGGCGTGGCAGTGAAAGACCTTGAACACCTTAGGGTTGGTGTAGTGATGGAAGTGTTGTTGTATGATAATTGATGATAGCCGCTGCATGTATGGTACATTATATGTGCTCCTCTAGCATTGGAGCTCAAGCAACCTTTGGGACAGGTGGCGGGCTCTCCTTACCACTCAAGGAGCTGATATCAGCCCTACTGTTATCTGGAGTGGCAAGCCTGATATCTTCAAGGGCAACATATCATGTATGCAGAGGCATGGGTGTAAGGTCCCTATCGTCTCTCTCTAAACCTGGTCAAGGTGGAGCTGTCTTGGCTGACAAGCAATAACTTGACGGTCCCATGGTCTTAGCCTCTAGTCCACAGTCCTCCGATGTCCCAAGCGCGGATGCCTAGGCCCTGCTTCGCGCCTAGGCAGCCAAGTGGTTGGGTAGAATGAATAAGCATTGAAGCGAGCCAAGACCCAGTCTGAGGCTGTCATATGCAAGCGTATGTGGGCCAAAGGGCCAAGCAGGCATATGTGCGAGCCGGGGGCTCAACTTTAGGCTGCCAAGAGAGTGTGGGTGAGCCAAGAACCCAAATTGGGCCTGTAGGTGAACCTAGGGCCTTAGTGAGCTGTAGACCGGCTGACAGCCCAACTTATTGGAGTTCTCCATTCTTGGTGATCTGCATGTCTCCTCTTAGGCCTTGCATGCAATCTCAATAGACCCTAGTGCCTCAGAGGTCTGCCATGTGGGGTGTGATGGCGACGACGTGGAGCTCAAAGGGCTCGCCACGTGCTGGGTGTGGTATAGATTTCCACAATTTTCTTCTTAGCTTGCCCGTGGTAATTTATGTGATAAAATCTTCTGCACCTAAACAAAATTACATCTTCCTCTATTATCTAGATATTTTGTCTGTGGAATTACCCTTGTTACTTTTGGTGCTCTTCATGAGTTTGTTCCTGTGTGCAATCTGTATATTATCATTGTTTTTTGATATTTCATAATTTTCCGTCCTTTATTGTGGACTTCAATCAATGGTTACTAATGGTTGTTTTCTTCATATTTGCATTTCCAGAATCGTGATGATGCTCGTCAATTTATGAAATTTCTTCATCCTGATCTTGGTGTTGGTAATGAATCTGGGTTTTGCTAGTCTTTTTATTTTTTTATTCAACATTGTTTCTTGTTCTTGAATTAAGGTCATTCATTGCTTCTATACATGACAGTTCTGGTTCCCAACTGTATTTGCATGACTTGTTTCAGAACTTCCTGAAAGATCCTATGGTGCTGATTGCCGAATTTATGTGCCTGAAAATCCCACAAACAGGTTTAAGAATGTATATGTATGATTTCTTCTTTCACAATCGTTAGTCATTAATGTTGTTCCTTTGGCATTTTTTCTTGTTTCTGGTATAGTTCAGTATAAAATTGGAGTGCCACAAGCACTCTGATTTATTTTGTTACGTTATAGGATACACTTTTTGATGAATTTGTTCCGGCTCATATCTTTGGATGGTGGGGCAAGGCTATAATGATTCGTAATCAGCCCCTTTTGTGGGTCCTTTCTATTGGATTTGAGTTGATGGAGGTTAGTGGCTTGATCTAACTGTTACAGTTCATTGTGTTACGATTATAGGTGGCACTCATATATTGTCTTGAACATTCTTGCAAGTGTGTACTTAAGTTGGCTATTTTGTGTTCATTCACACAATTAATTCTTGTATTGGAATTTTCAGCTTACCTTCCGCCACATGTTGCCAAACTTCAATGAGTGCTGGTGGGACAGCATTATTCTCGACATATTAATCTGCAATTGGTTTGGTGAGACTCTTGATGCCGCTCAGCTGTTTTGTCATAATTGAAATGTAGAAGATTAGCCTGCTTATTATTATTATTATTATTATTATTATCAAGTGTTTTATAAATTTTTGGTTTTCAAAATTGTTCTTTTTGTGGTCTGTCATTGCCCAATCTTTTAATATTTTTCATGAATTTATTAGATAAAATGAATGCGGAATCTAATTGTGAATTTTGTAATTTTGTTTTTATGACTGTTATTTGGGAAAAACAAGTAGGATTTTCTCACTAGCATCTTGTGCTGAGGTTTTTTCATTACGGAACAATGTATTGCTTTCTAGGCCATCTATGCTTTTTAAAAAAATGATATATGTGCTTTCAATCTGTATTGAGATTTATATTTGAATTATTACTTAGAGCTAGTTTGAAAAGTTGTGATACAACACGAGGCTTGATTACATTCTCCGTTGCTTCTTGCTGTTTTTGTGAATTGTGTGGGACACAGCTGTTTTCATCTCATGATAAGCAATGAATTTAGCATGGAGATTTTATTACCTAATTTATAATTTTATTTATTCTATTTGTAATTATATACTATTTTATAATTTTGTCTTTATATTTATTATTTTATTTATTCTATTTTTAATTATAGTTTAATTAGGAGTTTTATTTTGGTTAGGAGAAGATTTATTAACATTTGTTTTCATTTAGTATTAGGTTTTGGTTTCTTATTTTGAGTTAGGGTTTTGGCCTATAAATATTTAGTCTTTTTATTGTAATATTTAGTTGCACTAACTTAAGCATCATCGGAGTGCTTGACAGTCGTTCAATAGCCCACTCAAAGTGTTTACCAGTTGCACTAACTTAAGCCTCATCGGAGTGCTTGACATTAACTTATGCATCATCGGAGTGCAATGTTTGTATTAATAATATTGAGATTAAGGTTGTGGCCATTTGAGATTAGGGTTTTATTTTTGCTTTTTTTTACATATGATTATCGGTCCTAGAAATGCCTTTGACACCAATTTGCCGCAATTTCAGCCTATTAAATGGATTGTAATTGGGGTTTGTGACGTTGATACCTATGAAGCACGGATACTTCAAAAAGGGAAACGTATCCGTATCGGATACTTATTGGATACCGATACTCCTTGGATACTCGCGAATACGTATCAGATATTTCTTAAAAGTATCAGATACTTCTTAATTAATTTTTTATTAATTTTGGAATATCGGATGCTTAATTTTAAAGTATCAGATACTCGAAGTCACATATTACTTCTAATACTTTGTTTAGTTATTTGATAAGAGGAATATAGTGAGAGTTAAAGTAATAGAATTTGTCAAATTGGTGTATCCTTATTGTCTCTCTCACTTCTCTCTCGCTCTCTCACTCTCTCACTCTCTCAATCTCTCACGTTTCTTCTCTCTGCTCTCGTTCTTTTTCTGGTATTGGCATGTAAGGATGATATTTAATTTGCGTTTGCTTTTACTTTTAGTTTTAGATGATTTATGAATGTTTGAAGCTCTTAGCTTAATAGGAATCTCTCTTTATTTATTAATTTACTTTAGGTTTTATTTTCATGCATATTACATTATTAAAATTATAAAAAAATAATTTTTTTTTTAAAAACATATTCCCGCCATATCCGTATCCTACTTTTTCAGATTTTGGCTTATCGCCGTATCCATATTCCCGTATCCCGTATCCGTATCTGTATCCGTGCTTCCTAGTTGATACCTAAAGAAAATGCCCAGAATCTAGCTGTCTTGCTTTACAATCCATCTCCTAAAACAATTCTGTAGCTTCTCATTATCAAAATCACTCAAGTGATGCCTTGGAAAACCTTTCAATGCTGGCGGCAGCAACCAGCTAATGGAAACATGCTAAAGATGATGTGGGATCTCCTCTAAAGCAAATCATTAGTGTTGATTTCCACTTGGACTTTTTTCTTTGTTTTTGGTTTTTGGTTGGGGGGGTCAATCAGTTTATTAAAAAAATGCACAGCTGCTTGGAAAGAAGAGTTTACAAGTAAAACTTGATTGGGCCAAAAAACTGCTTATAATTAAGGGAATAAGAACAGAAGAAAGCTTAACAATATTCTCTTCTTGAGATGTAAAACGAAATCAACGTACTATGAATCAAGCATGACAAAAACAGAGGCAATGGAGGGCTGAGGAATGTAATTGTAGGGAGCTGGGAGGTGAGGTTCAAACATTAAAGATGAATCTATGCCAACTTTTTAAAATTCTGGCAGCTCCTGTTTAGAGTTGTATTCATTTTACAGACTTTCTTGTGATGATTGAGTGCCAGAAAGGGTGTTTAGAAAGGGTGTTTTCATGCTGGAACATATACAGCCAGAATAAAAAAATGGAGAGATTAAATTGGACCAATAAAATTACTTGTAAAAAAATTAAATCTCAAATTGGACCAATAAGTTGAGGTCACCCTTACTCTGAAATGAGTTTTTATTTCAATTATTCAGCCTACTTACAATTTCTATACTTTCTACAAACTTGGGATACCTTCCATTAATTGGTATAGTGTGCAATTTGGATACCTTTGCCATTCTTGCATCCATGCCTAAATTGCCAACTGGGCCTTTTAGGTGTGGGGGATCCAAAATCATCTCATAACATATTAAATGTGTTAAAACCTATCACCTACTTCACCCACTAAACCTAACCCACTACACCACTACCACCTCACCTACTCCACTAAACCTAACCCACTACACCACTACCACCTCCACTTCACCTACTCCTTACCTACTACACACTCACCCTCTTCTATATATAGGAATCATGAATCATTGTAAAATATATAACATAAAATCAATCAATAATACATCAATTTTAACATGGTATCAGAGCAGGTTTAGAACCTAGTATTTTCGCTTCACCGGCGGGCGGCAACCTCACCTTGGCCGTCCGCCGGACCTCAACCTAATCCGCCAGAATTTTCTACACATACCTTGAAATATATTTGAGTCCACCACCACTGCCCCTCCTCTCACAGTTGAACCTCTTGTTTGTTGGACTTGGCTCACCACCAGGTGTGAGCTTGTCCTGTGCTAGATCCGTCATAATTCCACTTTGGAAGCTTCTTGGGGTCACTCACAGGTCCAGCAAGAGTCCTTGCTTTGCTTCTGAGGTCCATGCCAGCACCACCAATCCATATGTACTCAGCAATTACCTTCTTCTCTGACCATACGGACTATGCAATCGACCATGCCCTTGAACTTCCGATGAGGCTCTGCGACTATGTTGATGTTGCTCTCTTGGGTCTGCAATATAACCTTCGTTCTCTCGATTGGGGCCGTAATCGTGTGCACCATGCCTCCCATCAACGCTCCTGCAATCAAATCCCTGTGGAAATTCGTCAGCCAATTGTACGGCTCTGGTTTTGGGTTTGACTTTGATTCAGAATCACTGCTCTCCTCTCCTTCGTCCTCCTCGACCGCCATGCTCTGTAGTAACTCTGCCCTCTGCACTCTCTCTGTTCTTTCTCTCTCTCAAATACCCACAACACAAAATCTCTCTCTCTCTCTCTCTCTAGTGAATGAATGAGTGTATATGAATACTTCCCTATGCATTGTGTGAGTATATATATAGATAATTTTCAAGAAAAGATTGATGCTTTCTTGATTTCTTGGATTTGGGAAACGAAATGAAGAAGAGAAGCTATGTGTGTTCTGTTTTCTTGACTTTTCTCTCTCTAAAAAAGAAACTTCTTTTAACGGAATTTCACACTTCGCGGGTTTTTTTGTTTTTTTTTTTTTGGTTTTTGGGTCGGTTTGTTATGATTTTTTCTTCAAATTTTTTTTCTTGGGAAAGTTAGGTTTTGTAAATGGGTAAAGTTGAATCAACTGGGAAATTATTCTAATTAAATTGAAAAAATTAAAGTAATAAACTTAAAAAAGTATGTCCAAGCTACTTGTTCAATTTTCATGTCAATTTTAAATGTAAAAGTCAAGCTTGGATTTCTTAGATAATTTTGAAGTGTTATGCTGACTAGTTTATTGACATTATACTAACTAAGTTTAAAAATTAATTACGTTTAAAAATGCATTCAGATTTAATTTGTTATTATTATTAGAAAATGTTGAATAATATTTTAGTAAATCAAATTCCAACTTCTTATTTTATAACTTTTGAAAAAATTATGTAAAAAGTTAAATAAAATAGACATGTATATTAATTTTCATTTAGATTTAGAGAATCTTGTGTCTTGTACATGATTTTTTTTGTAAGTGCATGAAGTGTGAAAATAAGTATTTGTGGTTTTACAACATCATAAAATTAGAGAATTAAAATATGCATAAATTAAGACTAAGGCCTTGTTTGGGAACCCTCTTTTTTAGTAAAAATGTCAAAAAGTTATTAAATTAGCCAAAAAAAGTCAACAACTTATATCAAAAAGTCAAAGATTCTCTTTTCTCTCTATTTTTTGCATATCTTTTCGTAAAAAGTCAAAAAGTCATCCCAGACATACTAGTTTTTTTTTAGCTCATATTTTAGTTAAATAGCCAAAAAATTACTAAATTAGCCTGTTCCCAAACAAGGCCTAAGGTTGGTTTAAAGAACGAGAGCTTTTTTATCAAACGTGATACTTGAATTTGAATCTCATCATTACACGATGTATTTTTTTGTTTCTTTAAATTTTAAATCCTAAATATTTATTAAAAAAAATAATAAAATATATATATATATATATATATATATATGAAAAAAACACACACACAAAGTGGGCTTTCACTCTTTTTTGAATTCCATTGTTAAATGCATGAAGTTGGGCTTCTTTATCAATAGCCTAATCTTGATAAACTCTTCCAGTGATACATGGGGTCCATTCTCTTCCATTGGTTATCCAAACAAAGAATAAAACAACATTCTTGTTTATTAATTCACCAAATTGTTAGTATCAATCATAAGGGTATTTGTGGTATTTTATCGAGAACTTCTTAGGCGTTTGCAGAGTAACGTTTTTAGTTAAAAAGTAAAAAAATTATTATAAACCGTCAAATAATTTACTCATTTTTTTTATAATTTTTTTTTGTAAAAAATTAAAAAATTGCTAAACAAAATTAATCTCCAAACGAGTGTTAAATATATTTACTAAATTTCTTTTTATATTCACTTTGTTGATCCAGGGGCAGTGTTACGTGATACTTTATATACATTGTACTTGGTGGAGGGGGTGTGGTTCATGATTTTGTATTGAGTGATTGAGAAATATGAGAGGATATAATGATTTATGATTGATTAAGAACATAATCACGTGATATTCCTCTACTAACCAATTATGTTTTAATTTTCGGAGTTTTTGATACTGACATTTTGATGCGTGACATTATCATTTCTCACAAACAATTCCATAGCGAGAATTCCTTAGAAGTGAAAACTAGCAAACCAAAGGGCCCAACAAGGCCTTTCACACATGCTTGCTTTGTGGTTGGGCTAGCAATTTTGGTCCATCCATTCGTCCTTCTTCTTTTTTTCTTTTCTTATTACTAAACCTAACCCACTACACCACTACCACCTCCACTTTACCTACTCCATCTACCACCTACTACCACCTACTCTTCTATATATAGGAATCATTGTAACATTCAATAAATCAATCAATAATACATCAATCAATTTTAACAAAATGTAAAAATTTGATTGCAACAATTGTTCTTTACTCCAAAGAGAAGACAATATGCTGTTACTAGCAAACTAAAGATTGGAAAATGGAAATGCTAACCATCTATGCTTAATCCTCAACAGAACTTAGCTTTGAACCTGCTTTAGGTTGATCATAATGGACATGGTATGGATGGAAATTATTTTGTTCTGGGATCCACTTCCTTTGCTTACCTCCAAACCCCCTTTATCCATCATGATTTTGAGATACACTGCCTGTCAAGTATATTGTAGGCATTCTATCTGGCACCTTGAATTTTGGTTCTTTGAAAAGGTATATTGCTAATTGTTAGACCGAATTACATGAGGTGTGTAATAATGGGTTACATGTCTGTAGTATTGATTAATACTACTTGATTTTCTATGCAGGTATATATATGAAGGAATGCATACTGTACGGTACTTTGATGGAAAAACATATGAGTGGGTTGGTATAAGCCGGCAGCCAAATATTATGGGCAAAGTATGTCTTTGAACTCTTTTTGCTGCTTTATTGAAGTGCTTCGCTTAAGGCTCCGTTTGTTTATTTTTGCCAAAACATTATACACAATTACAGTGTTTGGTTGAACAGCAACTATGAAAAATATTTTTATAAAAAATCATTTTCACTAAAGTTGCGTAAAATGACTTCCGTGTCTAAGATCTGTAAGTTAATTTTGGGTTGCTTGATTGGAAATCTCGAGTGTGAAGAAGCATAGAGCCAATGTTGAATAGTGAGTTTGCTATTGGTATCATGAGTTACTCGGATAAGCCATGATTTTCAATCTTCTGGAAAAATATTTTTTTAAATATCAACCAAACATTAGAAAATATAATTGTAAACAATTTTTTCATAAAAATAATTTACATAAAAAATATTTTTGTTGTAAAATATTTTACATTGAAACAAATGGAGCCTAATTGTCTTTCAGATCATCTCGTATTTATTTTCTGGTTATAATATATCCTTTTTCTGCCGGACAATTATCAGTTGAAAGAATTGTTCCTTTCTCCCAAACTCTTCTGATCTGGAAGGTTTTGGTGCCAAGGTTCGAGTATGTATAATACTCACAGCAATCCCAACACCCTTCCCATGCATATGCATTGTAAAGAAAAGTACATACTAAGCATTTAAAACAGTCGTGAGGTTGAACAATTTGAAAAAGCAGCACATCCGAGTTTGATATCACCTTTTTAATAAAGAGTTAACTGTGTGTGTATTTATGTATTTACCTATTGTCATACCTTTGTGTGAAGGACTTTCTGCCTTTATGTGTTCCTTTTTTGTTGAATGTTCCTCATGCGTCATGCTACATATCTCTGATGTATCTGCCCATTGGTAGAGGACAGAGAACAAAAGCTTTACACACTAAAGAATGACTGCTCCCACAGTACTTGATACCACATACCTACTCTTTGACATTACATATCATGACAAGCTGTCTCTTCCCCTCGTTGGTAGAGGAAAAAGATCAGATAAAATTTGCAATTAGTGAATGGGAAGGTAAATAGGTATTAAAGGTCAGTTCTTTTAAATTGTCAAGCAATTATTTGGCGTGGCATTTAACTTGTCAATAAAAATATTATGAAGGAAACATTAAGAAGTCACCAAGGACTTTTTGGGGATTGGTGGGTATGTGTGTACAACGATGCTGTCCAACGTCACCAACAGATCCCATATTTGTGCCTCAGTTTGCTAGCTTTAGGCAATTATTGCCATTGTGAGAGCTAAGACCTAAATCTTTGAGTCTTTAAGAGCTCTTTGAGAGAGTAAGGAATATCATAGGGTTGTCCCCTGGACCAGGAAACTACACACCAAGAGAAGAGAGCCTTCCACTAAGTATGTATTGCTGCTGCACATGTGCAAGCCTTAGCTGGTTCTCTGTTCCTCTCTCTCACTCCTCACTCTAGGAAAAAATAATACTTCATGTTGTCCCAAAGCAACTTGTTATTGACTTTGAAACATGCCACATTTTTTCATTCCATTGAATTTGACCTATCGTGGATAGTAGTGGGGACTTGGGGTTCTGTCTCCTCTTGGCTCTGCTATTCATTGCTCACTCTGACAGGTTGCTCTTTTAAATCTTTCCTGTTCATTCATTGGTTTATCAATTTGTTACATCCGGCTAGGGTCACTTTGCAAATTTTGGACACTAATTTGAGATTTTTGGTGGCTTGGACATGCAAATAAGTTTCCATAGTGGCTGCCTACTTGGCCAACAACTTGCATGAATGCAGGATTCTTTCGTAATTTTCATCATAAAAATGCTGGCAAATTTATTGGAAGACATGACTGCATTCAAAATATTTCTTCCATTTAGACAAATTTTTGCAATTCTTCTTCTTTTATTTTGTTAATATGAGAAAAAAAAAATGATAAACATATTGTGCTCCTCTCAGCTATAAATGATTTATTTATTTATTATTTTTGTTTCATGATGTAAGGTTTCATTTACTTTCCTGGACAGTTAATACATGGACTGTGTAAGGTCATTGACACATTATTGTTCTTATCATCTCTGATTCTTTTAGTGGCTGATGTTAGAAATTGTTCACTTGAAAGTTCTAACAGATGGAAAGGAACTTCTAGTTTCAAGTTTGGACCTTAGATTATTTTGTTCCAAATCTCGGATCTATGATGATGCTTATGGAGGATGTTGTCTATATCTTTTCACTTTCTGGTGTCTTCTTGTTGATCCTCGGGTTTTGTAAAGAAAATGATACCTGTTTTTGTTTTTGTTTTTGTTTTTGTTTTTTTTGTTTTTTGTTTTTTTTTTTTTTTTTTTTTTTTTTTTTTTTTTTTTTTTGAGATCAGTTGTGGTTATTGAAAATATGCTTTGACTAAAGCACTGTGAATCTGAGTGTGCTATCCTTCTTGATATGCTTAAAAAAAATCCTTTTCTGTGGTCCTTCTGTGTGGTTTATTCAGGATCATTTAGTGTACAATTTCAATTGATATTGTAATTGAGTTCTCTAAGAGGGGTATTGCAAACATGGTTTCTTTATAGATTGAGGAAGCATGTTTCTTTGGATCTCCTTTCACATGTGGGCTAGGGTTTTGACCCTGACATTACATTTTTCTTTAAGGCTTAGTTTGTTTAGAATGAAATAGGTAGAAAGTGAAGAAAGAGAAAAAATTTAACTTCTATGAGTTTGTTTAGCTTGAAAGTGGTGGAAAGTATAAGAAAACTAATTTTCTTGTACTACCCATATTAGCATTGTAACTAATTTTTTATTTCTTGCAAAAAACACAAGAAAACACAAGAAAAATTGAATGTGTGATTTATCTGTAACCAAACTTTTAGATTTTTCTATATTTTTCTTACAAAATTTTCATCTTAATCAAATGCTTGCAAGAAAATATATTTTCTTTTCTATTTCTTTTCTTTCACTTCATTTTCTTTTACTTACACTTTCTACCAAATGTTCTTTCTAATCAAACGGAGCCCAAGGGTTGCTCATAATGGAAAACATCATTTGGAAATTCAGGGATAATGCTAGAAACAATTAAATTGATTTGATGTTAAAATTTGGTCCCTCTAAAGCATAATCTGTTTGTAGAAACATGAAGAAATTTAAATCATTGAGGGAGCTACATCCCGTGAGCAATGATTGAGATGCTTCATGCTCTACTTCTAGCTCGTCTTGGGTCAACAACCCAAACATTCGCTGTGAATGATTACATTGATTCATTTGATTACAGTGATCTCCGCTACTAAGAGAGTGACTGCTTTTAAACTTACTTTTCAGGTTAAACGAACACTCAGTCAATTTACACCAGCACAGTGGGACAAAGACGAGTGGCATCCCCTTCTTGGCCCATGGCGTTTTATACAAGTTCTGACTTTATGCATTGTGTTCTTGACAGTGGAGCTCAACACATTCTTTCTTAAGTTTTGTCTTTGGGTTCCTCCTCGAAACCCGCTGATTGTGTATAGGTTGGTCTTGTGGTGGCTAATTGCAATACCAACAATTCGTGAGTACAATTCCTACCTACAGGACCGGTACTCCCTCTCTCCCCCACTTTTTTGTCCATATATGCAAATGATGCACCCTATATTAGCAAAGGATGTCAGCATAAGCATGAGTTGATAGTAGTTTGTCTCTTCTCTCACCCTTTGCTTGATTAATGTCTGGTTTTTCAGAAAACCAGAGAAGAAGGTGGGTGCATTCTGCTGGCTTTCTCTTGCTATCTGCATTGTCGAATTGCTCATTTGTATTAAGTTTGGACATGGTGCGTTTTCTGTCTTATTATTTTCTCAAGAAGCACTTAAGGTTGTTAATTGTATATGGTTGCCAGGGTTGGTATTGTTGCCAATTCAAGTATCCATGAAAACTGCTAGGTGAAATCTCTCTATTTGTTTGTCACCAGGTTTATTCCCCAACCCAATGCCTAAGTGGTTGGTGATTTTCTGGACCTCCATCGGGCTGGCCCTTGTGATATCTTTGGCTGTATGGACATGGCAACTGCATCAGACTATTCGGAGGAAACAGCAATGATTTTGCTATTTTACTTCATTCTTCGATTCCTTTTTGCTCGGACGGTAACCAACCAACCATGTTGTAAATACTACTATCTTGTTCATAAGATGTAAATGCTTATTTCTTAGGTTAGTGGACCACAGCTTTATTCGGATGTAGAAATTTATTCTTGTTACTAATGTCAGTTTCATAAGTTAGGAAGCACAGATGCGGATGCAGGTACACCAATATGGCAAAACCCAAAAATAGTAGGATACGAGGATAGTTGGGTACATTTATATTTATACTTTATTGTACATGATACATAACAATAAAAAAATCAAACGCTGAAAATAATTAATAGTATTTTTGTAATGGTAAAATAGAACCCTAAATATTTTTCATTTTTTTGATATTTGCAAAAATATCCTATATTTTTAAAGTTTTTTAAAATAGTCACAATATAATTGTTCTGGTACCCTTATTTTAAAATATATATATACATTTTTGCCTTGATGTACCCACAAAAATACCTGAAACGTACTCATTCTATGCTCGAAATGTACCCATGTCATACCCGAGTCGTACCCATCCCGTATTCTAGCCATACACAAAGTATTCATGTAGTGAATATGTGTTTCACATACTTGGTATGTGTGTAGCTGTACCAGTACACATACCTATACCGGGTGAGTACATAGTAGTAGTACACCAATATTTTTGAAGTACCCATGCTTCATAGCTCATAAGTAATGAGTTTCCTACCATTTCCAACTGGCAAAATTTGTACAATTTTGGTTTGTGCATAAACTATTTTTGGACATTACGACCTGCTTGGATCTGTTAATGTTTTCTTTGTTTTTGTTTTCGAAAACAAAAACGATGAAAAACTTGAAAACACCCGTTGTTTTCATATCGTTTTCTTTTTTGTGAAAATAGCCTTTGAAATTCAAAAACAACTCTTGGGTGTTTTATATAAAGTTAGTTGTTTTCAGAAATTTTTTTCAAACACAACTTCGAAACCAGTTCACCAAACAAGTTTAATGAAGACACTAGGGCTGAGCAAGGAATCCGTGAAATCCGTAATCCGATCCAGTCCAGTCCAATCCGATAGGTTTGGATTGGTTTTTTGAATCCGTGGTTCGGTTCCGGATTGAATAATTAAAAATCCGTAGTTCACGGATTGGTTCCGGATTGAATCCCACGGTTCCGGATTGGAACCGATCCGGACCGTATACAAATAGTCTATATTTTTATTATACATCCTCCCCCATAGTATCTTTTCTTATTCTATGTAAAATCTAAACTCAAATCTAAAATCGTATAATATCTTCTTTTATTACTTTTGTTTGTTAGTTTTAAGTTTTAATTTGCAATGGTCTAAATACTTATGGTGAAACCAGTTTTCTTATGATTGTTTAAATTCTAGAACAGTATGTCGTTATTATAGAAAAACATGTTGCTATTATGGAACTAATATAGCGCTATGTTTATATTTTTATGAAATTCAAGTGTTATATATATATTTTTGTTATTTAATTATGTGAATCCGTGGTCCTAAACCGATCCAATTCGTATTTAATGGATTGGTTCGGATTGGTTCCATGATTTAAACGGATTGGATTGGTTCCAATTTTTTAGGAACCGTAAATAACGGATTGGTCCTGGTTTTATCCCAATCCGGTCCAATCCGGACCATGCTCACCCCTAGAAGACACAACCAAACATGCCCTTGTATTCCTGATAGGTACTGTTTTTATTTTTCGATGTATTTGCTTTTGGTTTTTTCTTTTCATATTTTTGGAAACAAAAACAATGAAAAGTTAAAATACACACACTTTTCATATCATTCTCATTTTCTTTTTCTTTGCAAAAATAGTTCTCAGAAATTTACAAAACAACTCAAAAGTGTGTCCTAAAAAATAAACCAAACCAAACCAAACCAAGCCTTAAGTCCCATCAAATGGGGTCGGCTACATGAATCCTTCTTCTCCATGCGGCCCTATCAAAAGCCATTTCATTAGTCAAATTAAATAGATTCATATCTCTATTTATAACACTAGTCAACGTTAATCTAGGCCTACTCCGTCCCCTAACACTTCCATCTATCGTTACAGCATCGCATCTCTTCACTACTGCCTCTGTTGGTCTCCGTTGAATATGACCAAACCATCTCAAACGATTCTCTCTCAACTTATCTTCTATCGGTGCTACTCCTACCCATTCCCGAATACACTCATTCCTAATCCTGTCCTGTCTAGTCTTACCACACATCCACCTTAGCATCCTCATCTCAGCCACACTCATCTTATCTACATGTTGTTTCTTGGTTGCCCAACACTCCGTCCCATACAACATAGCTGGTCAAATAGCCGTTCTATAAAACTTACCTTTTAGTCTAGTGGGTATTCGTTTATCATGTATATGTGCCTATGGTAACAGAAATTACAAGAAACTAGGACTAAAATATTATTACAACGCATGTTTCAAACAGAAGGCAATAGCATGCATGGTTAGGACTATACACAATGGTAACATTCAACAAGCCATAGGCTCAGTTTCCCGCAGTGCACGTATCAGATTCTTTGAATGAGTTCCAATGGTTTGAATACTCACCTATGATGTATAGGCTCAGTTTGATCAACTGAACATTAAGATTTCACATCACACATCAAAATGAGTAATAAGATTTTACCTCACACATCAGATTCTTTGATTGAGTTCCTATAGAACAACTTGCATACTTTACTTTCCATTGGATTTTATCTGGTCAGCATTTTACTCCTAATTTTATAGATCTTTTGACTTTTATTTTTTAGCAACTCCCTTTTTACCTAAACACTTCCAAGCTTCAATAGGGATATCATCGGGTCCTAAAGCCTTATTTGATTTTATCTTCTTAAGTGCAATCTCCACTTCAAAATTTCTAATCCTGCGATAGAACCTATAGTCTTGGTTTATCGTATTACTGATTATTTCTTCCCCTATTGTCGTACTTCCATGTTCCTCATTTAACAGTTTCTCAAAATAATTCTTCCATCTTTCCTTAATCTCATCATCCTTCACCAATACCTTAGAATCCTCACTCTTGATGCACTTGATTAAAATCTCTTGTTTTCCTCTCCCGTATCTTAGCAAGTTTGTATACCCTCTTCTCTCCCTCCTTACTATCTAGTTTAGTGTATAGGTCATCATAAACTTTTAACTTAATCTCTCTCACTACTTTCTTGACCTCCTTATTAGCCAATCTATAGCTCTTAAGGTTTTCCTCAGTTCTATCCTTCTGCCACTTTTTAAAGCACTCTTTTTTTGCCTTAACTACCGCTTGGACCTCTTCCCTCCACCACCAAGTTTCCCTAGAGCTGGGTCCCGTTCCTTTCGACTCTCCAAGCACTTCCCTTGAGATTCTCCTCATACAATTGGCCATCGAATTCCACATAGTGTTAGCATCACCTTCTAAGTCCCAAGTACCTTCCTTATCCATTCGATTCTTAAATATTTCTAATTTTTTCCCTTTTAAGTCCCACCATCTTGTCCTACGACGCCCACCATCCTTCCTAACTTGGTCATGCCCTCTAAAACATAAATCTAGTACCAAAATCCTATGTTGAGAGACTAGACTCTCACCAGGAATCACCTTACAATCATTGCATTTTAGGCAGTCCACTTTTCTCACTAAGAATTAATCTATTTGGCTCTTAACTAATCCATTCTTAAAGGTTATCAAGTTATTTTTTTGAATATTTTTCCGAAAGCAATTTTTTTGGAAATAGTTTTCTAAACAAGCTTTCCGTTTCTGTTTTTCATTTTTATATTTTCTAGAATAGAAAATGATGCGAAATGCACAGTATTTGTTTTCTCTTAATTACTTTTTTGGTGAAGTTTAAATTTATTCATTTTCTAAAACATCTTTTAGCAATGGGAAATTATTGGGAAATGCAAATGACTGAAGACCAACTTCCTTTTTAATGTATGCTTGTTGAAGCTTGAATCTTTTATGAAATTCAGTCTAGAATCTATATGTGCTTTCATCGATTGGGTTCACTTTGGTTTTGACGTGAGAAAAGGCATTAGGGAGTTGTTTTCAAGTAGGCGTGTCATGTATACATCATTGAATATTAATTACCAAACCAAACCAAGCCTTAATTCCCATCAAATAGGGTCGGCTATATGAATCTTTCTTCTCCACTCAATTCTATCGAAGGCCATTTTGTTAGTCAAATTAAAGAGGTTCATTTCTCTACATCATTGAATATTAATATGAATGATAATTCTACATGGTCAATTAGATCAAATTACAACCAAGGTTTCGTTCAATTGTTAAGAGTACTACACAAGGAAATGAATTAAAGGAAATGAAAAGAGAATATAAATGATTTAGTTTTTCATTTGTTTAGTTCACCGGAAAGTTTATATATAAAAAGTAAAAATGATAGTATCGAACTAGTAGAACATTTAGGGAGAGAGAGAGAGAGACTTGTATTCGGGAGCCTCTAAATGCACCCCAAAAATATTGTTGGATAGCTCACCTTTGGTGATTTTTTGAAAAACCATTATAACACTAGGTCAAATTAAAAAAGAAAAAGAAAAAAAAAAAGGGACTCTCCTTGAACACCTACTCTCAACCCCCTCAGGCCATCACACCACCACCTTTGGCAGCCACCCTAGTCCTTTCCTCACTGTCATCTCCCCCCTTTTCTCACCTAGCCACCATAGCCACCCCCCCCGCCACTCCTTCCCTCACCTCAACCTCGATCCTGTCCACCACTCCTAGAAGAGTAATGAGGTTGAAACCCAAAGGAGCTGTTTGGTGGGGGGTGGTTGCTAGAGTGGAGAACAATAAAGAGAGGAAGGGGGGGTCGGACTGAGAGGAGGTAGTGAGGGAGTCGCAGAGGGGTGACGGAGGGGCTAGACGGAAGGAAGGGAGGAGTTGGGGAGGTGGTGGTGATGGTTTTTGCGGCGATGGTTTTTGCAAGAGGAGGTGGTGGATGCAAGGTTTGGGTTTGGAAGGTTAGGGATGAGAATAGGATTGGGACTAATTGGAGTGTTCAAAGGAAGAGAACAAAATTCAAATTTGGGAATGGAATGCCCAAAGAGGGGTGTCCAACAATGTTTTTGGTGAGCATTTAGAGGCTTCCTCACCATAGATGGATAATTCTATTCGCATACCGTACTTTACCTTAGTACACACCATTTGTGCTGCTCGGATATCAATTTCTAAATGAAAACAAAATGTTCAAATATCAACTTCTGAACAAAAACTAAGGGTGTGTTTGGTTTGTGTTTTGAGATAAATTTTCAAAAAATTTTTTGGAGAGAGAGTTTAGAAATTTTTTTGGTTTGTTTGGTTGTATATTTTGAAATTAGTTTTGGAGTTTGGGAGTTTGGGATGATTTGATATTTTGTTGTAGTTGGGTGGATGTGTGTGAGAGAAAAAGTGATTGAGAATGATAGAGGAGAGAGAAGAAGTGATTGATTGATGTGTAATAGAGAGAAGTAATTTTAGAATTTTTTTGAGAAAATTTGTTACCAAACATGTTTTTGAAATTTTTCTTCCAAAAACATGTTTCAAAACACATACCAAATACGCCCTAATTGTTTGAACAAAAATGCTGTTCAATAATTGATATCCAAACAGCACAGAAGGGTGTGTACTGAGACAAAGTGTGGTGTGTAAATAGAATTACCAACCATATATTTATATTAATATAGCTCAGAGTACAAAAATACCCTTGGTGATTAATGTTGGAAAAAATGGGTTTTTGGTGACTTTGGTTCTAGATTCTTTGTAACAAGATCTCTATACCACAAAAAAGAATGACCAAAAACTATTGGGAATTGAATGAGAATTGTCTCATAAAATTGGCCTCATGTATGAGAGATTGAGAATGATAATTGAGCATTTTACACGTGGTCTAATCATGAGGGACACATAGCCTAACCATGAGGGACACATGGCCCTAATAGTGTCTTAGACCATGAGGGACACATGGCCTTAATAATGTCTTAAGACCATGAGACACACATGGCCTAACCATGAGGGACACATGATTTTGGAAGCCATGAGGTACACATGGCCTTGCCATATATCTCGCCAAAGATGCCTATATAAGGGCATGCTCAACATTGTGAATATTATCACAGAATAGATTAAGTTCTCTCCTCCTCTTTTTCCCATTGTGTATAAAAGGAGACCATCTTCTTTGGTTGGAGTACATAAATCCTTTGCTCTCATGTTATAGTCAGTTTGCTCCTGTAATATTCTTTCTGTGTGAGAGAGTGCTACCATTGTTAGTTTACCGTAGCTAAACAAAAGGTGCTTCTGTGTTAGCGGGTTCTAACCATCGTATCCAGGGAGACCGAGGCCGACATACCTCCAGCACCCACGGTGAGGCTGTGAATCTGTTTTAAGGAGATTGTGGTATCACACAGGTTTCCGTTTGTTTTCTTTTTCTTGTTTTGTTATATGTATTTTTGTTCATTAAGTTGTATGATTTAGTCCTATGATTTCTTATTTTTGTAAATCAATTTAATTAAACATGAATCTATTTATTTTTTTATTTATTAAGTACACAATTTGTACAACAATTAATACATAACTCGTAACATTTCCCCTCAAGTTGGTGCTTAGATATTATTCATGCCCAACTTGCAAACAATATTGTGAAAACTTTATTCCTAAGCCCTTTGGTAAATATTAGCTTGATCACCTGAGCTCACAAAGGGCATACAAATCACACCTTTATTTGACTTATCCTTGATGAAGTTTTTGTCAATCCCAATATGCTTGGTCTGGTCTTGTCTTGTTGAATTGGGTTATAAACTATATTAATAGCAACCTTATAGACTCCCAGATCTCAAAGGAGTTCTGTAGGTGTGCATCTGCTTGAGTGGGCCTCACAAGATCTTTGTGGTGGTACTGTTCACTGCACGTGGCTTATTTACACCGCATATCATTTAAGTACATGGTTACCTAAGATATTACATGTAAATAATGGAATTCCCTCATTTGAATTCAATGAAAATTTCAAAACAATGAGATTTCAAATAAATAAAAAGTCAACCCTCCCATTTGAAAGACAGTTCATCTTTCACTGGAGAGTTTTATTATTTGGAACAGGAACAAAATACAAACACCTTAGGAGTAGCTAAAAATAATGATTTCTCAAATGAGGTATGTACCCTAAGTGTTCTAGGTCTTATTTTAGCTCCAATTACAAATATGCAAAGAGATTCATCACACAATATTTAGACTTAGGAGTTTTGACGGCTTATCTTTCAATAGCCTCTCACAGAAACTAATTTTCATAAGTTTTGGCTTTTTGAATCTCAATCGATTCCTATAAACTAACACAATATGCTCATGTCATTGTAGCTAAGATTGGATGCCTTGCATTGTCCTTGGACGTCTTCAATCCTCAGCACTTTGGACACTAAGATCTAAACACTAAACCTAGATACCAAATAAACATTTTGTCTAAAAAAATTGTCAACACACTAAATCATAAACAATGTAGCAAATTTCATGACCCAATGTTTTATTGAATATGTTTTAGATACAAGTACATGCCTGTGACTTTGGACAATTTGCTTAAACTAATCTTTCTAGGATCCTAATATGCACACATATTCCAACTTATTACATGCAAAGCTTGCCCCGTCCATCAATTTAGTTTGTCCTGCGTGGTACCTTCTGGTGAACTCTCACCTTAAGACTGGAACCTTGAACTGTAAATGTGAAAATAAACTGAGATGCGCAACAAATCCACTTCGTGCTCCAAAGCAATTTCTTTCCATCCCTCGTTTGGTTGAGGATGCTTGAATTTTCATGTTGGATAAGCTTGCTAAATCCCTTCAAATTCACCAGAGTGCAAAGCTAATTAGGTTGCAAATGGCATGGTAGAGAGCTTTCTTTTCCATGAGGTCCTTCCTCTAACAATCTCTTCACTTTTGGCCTCTCCTGTCATTTGGAGTAGATGTGTATACCTCAATGGCCCCTTATCAAAGCACGCTAGGAGTCCATTACCTTCAAGGCTTCCTGATGCCATAGAAAATCCATTTATTAGGCACATGTTATTATCTTGTTGTACTCCTTTAATAATTCCATCTTCATGAGGTTCACAAAGCGATTGAACTATAGCTGAACTTCCACATTCTCTTCTATATTCTAGTGTCATACTAGACAGTTGGTGGTTCTCGAGGAATTGATCGGGGATGGTCTGAATGAAAAAATAATAATTTTAACATTTAGATGCAGTTATGGCATACTCAGATTAGAAATGGTGGCACTGTTTTGATTTTACCTCAAGCATCCATCTTACATACTTAACGTTGTTTACATGGTGGTTCATGTCCAAGTCACTCCTCTTGGGCTGCAAATCACAATTCCCATTAATAAGATTTCTCATGTAATACCAACATCAATTCTAGTGAGCTTTACCTTCAAGTCAGAGTTGACATATTTTGCTTTATCATCCAGCTTTTCAATTTTTTCATTCACCTCTTCTTTGATTGCTTGCTTCTCAATAAACCAAGGGGAAATCTCAGCCCTCACCTCCTCTGGCATCTTGGAAAGACGCCGGGTTTGCTTGTTCATCATAACCCAAGTACTGTTCCATGTTTAACCTTCAGTGCTCATCTAAATGATGAAACCTTTGAAAATACCAAGGAAAGGGCAATATAAGAACCAAAGATATATCTATACCTGGTTGCACGAACAAAAACATGGCCTGTGGCATGACTTCGGATAAGCCAGTCTCGCCGCATCCCATTTTTCCCTGATGCTCCAACCCATGTGTCAATTTCCAGTATCTCACCCCTGCAAAAGTCATCCATGTTATGATTTGTGCAAATACTACTTGTAAGTTGTATCTGAACATAGGACCATATCAAGATTTTCCAAAACAATTTGCAACTAGTCTCTGAATCTATAGATGCTTATTCTTAACTTTGTTTCAGAGACCATCACATCATTTTTGGATTTATCAGTTTTGTCATTTTTGTTGTTATTGTTGTTGTTGTTGTGTGTGTGTAGAAGTGCCCTTTTATGGTTTTGATGAGTTATGAATGTATGTCCACATCATAATACCAGTAAGTGTAGTCAGTGTAACTCTTTGGCTGCCTCATTTAGAGAGAAACCTTTTTTATTTTATTTTATTTATTTATTATTTATTTTTATTTTTTTGTCGTCTTGTTGATAAATCTCATTTGGAGAGAAACCTTTTGAACATTTTCTATGTAATTAACAATATTGACATGCACTAAAACTAGGGAACTAGGATTCGCATTGAGAATGTTGAACCAGAGGAATACTATGTCATGTATATATATTGATGATATGTACAGAGAAAGGAAATAACATAAAAGGAAACAAAATCAAGGCCTAATTGATCCTAATTAATTCTAATTCCAACAATATTGTTTGATTAAAGATGTTTTATGTTTGATGTATTGTAGATATTTAATTTCATGGTTGCTTGGACCAAGTTTTATTGTTTGGCTTAAAGCCATAGACAATAACAAACAATAATGATGATGGTTATTATAAAAATTACCAGATTGGGTAATGATCCATTTCGACCTGCATTCTTGAGACAACCCAGATTAGATTGTTTTTCATCATTCCATGGGTGGCACCAAATCCATCACCAAGGAGTCCTGACATCCATACATGATTCAATGCTGTTTCCTGCATATTCGTGAATGCTTTTAGGATTTGCACGGTAGCCTATGTTATGGCCTTGGCTACAAGTATCAAGGATGTATGTGTGTGTGTCTCTAAGCATCAGACCGTTGTAAATCTAAATCTAATGATATAGGGATATGTATCCAAAAGTTGGATATGAGAACGAGGACTCGTCATTGACACGTATTGCATATTTGTATAATATTCTTAGATGAGATGTTGTAAATTATGTAAAAATGTACTTGGAATCAAATAGAATTAGAGAAAAAATAGAATTATCATCTCCTTGTCTATGTTAGAGTTACAAATGTTTCTTTACTAGCAAATGTGAATTTGTGATTATTTAAATATTGTAAAAAGTATGATGATTTGGGCACGGGTGTCGGACACATGTCCTACACCCTTACCCTTGTCATATGTGATAGACATGGGTACTTTGGAAGAATTCCAGTGAACAATTTTCTAGTAGTCTTAAGTCTGCAAAGGGAGTTGACCATTTATAAAGTCCAAGTGTATTAAGTCTGCACTGAGCTAAATATTGGAGTCATCGTTTTTTCAAATATGATTTTTATATGATACAAATCTTCTATGTATATGATTTGCAGTGTTCACCTGAAGAAGGTTGAGGATGCTTTCAATTGTTGCAGTTTTATCGGTGCCAACTTCATAGGAACGAATGACGACAGTCTGTCTGTATCCAACACCCTCTTCAATGATGAGCCCTTGCCGGTAATGATCAACAAACTGCTTCTTTGTTGGAATATTTTGGCGATCCTCTTTGGGGATGCAAGTGCCATTTTCAGTGCCCGGAGCAACTGTGGTGCTAACAGCTCCATTTTTATGGCTTAGTACATCCACCTTAGTCGTGGTCAACAAACTAGAATTTCCATTTATCTTGATATTACTCAGTTTTTGCTTATGTGGGTCATGATGATCTCTATTGAAAGAACATTTGATGGTATAACAAGCTAGGTGAGAGAGAGAAGCCATTTGTTCCTCTTCTTAGACTTTGGCTGTGTAGAGAGAGTTTGGAAGAGGGTTTTGTATATTGGTGTGTTTTATAGGTTTTTTTTGGGCTGAGGAACCAAGGGGAAAATTTGAGTTGAGAGGACAAAAAGAGGGAACTTTGTTGTACAGTTGGGACATTTCAAAGGGAGTGTTGTGTCTGATGAGAGAGAAGATGGTAAGGGAGTTGCAAAATTTAAATTATGGTATTTTTAGGAGTGATCGAAAGTCAGAAGAGGACACATATTTAGTTTCTTTTTTAGCATTTTGGGTGTGGGAAACACAAAGAAATGTAAAGATTTGTGGGGTCTTTTAAATGGCTCGGCTGTCTGTTCCTAGAACTTGGGCTTGGAGTTTTGAAAGTTGCCAAACTATTTTTGGTTGTAGGTGTAAGTAAGCAATGAACTCATGGTGTCTTGCTGCTCTCTCTCTCTCTCTCTCTCTCTCTCTGTGTACGCAAATGCATATTTATCTACATGTCTTATTGCTGTCTTTTCTTTTGAAAAGTATTTTAAATGCTTTGATGGAAGCTCAAAGAGATTTTGTGTTGCTGGATCCTACTAAGGGATAGCCCAGTGTAGTGGAAAATATTTTCTTGAAAAATTTCCAACAAAAAAATGTTTTGTTGTGCTTAGGTTGCAACCTTGAAAATAATGTGCTACTAGTTGTGGTGTTGGCAATTGTGTTATGCGCACAAAGAGAACGGGACACACAATGCACAAATGTGAGAGAAAATTCGTATCTATAGTTGTGAATATGTCTCACATCTGTGCATTCTGTATTAGGTTCTCTCTGTGCGCCTAGAGTTTTTGATAATGTTGGTGTGGGGATAGTGTTTTGGTGTATAGGTTCATTATAGATTAACAAACCGAATTTTATTGTGTAACAATATACACTTGTCCTTAAAATATGTATGCTTTTACATTTCATTACACAGCAATATCAAACCCAGATAAGGACTAGGGTTGTGTTGAATAGTGCAATTCATAATAATGAATATATGAACAACATATGGAACCTATATGCTTGGCAACCCTAGTCTTTGTAACATATCAAGCATTATTATATTTGAAGTTTTGTTTTTTTTATTTATTTTTAATATGAGCTTGACCAAGCTACTAGTACACCTCCTACGTAAATTGAGGATGTAAAAGTGGAACTAGCTTTTGCTACTAGCGTCCAACCAATTGCGTCAAAATAGTAGTAAAGTTGTTTTTCTTTCTCAAATTTGGGATCTAAACAAAGCGTAAGTGAATCACTAAGGGTTTTACTTGTTTGAGTTCATCACGATGAGTTTCAATTGTTTGAGTGCATCACGAAACAATGGTTGCATCTTCGATTGCATCGCTGAGTTTAATAGAAGACAAAATTAAATAAGTGATTATTGACTCAAGTGTAAACTACTAGTGACTAATTTTGTTCCCTTGTATGGGACAAACAAGAGAGTCAAAAGTGGTCATTTTCCATGTTATCAAATAGAGGTGGAACAATTAATACTTTTTTACTAGCCCCTTTTTTCTTGATATAGAACACTCTGTACTAGGATTTTTCAGCTCAATCCATCAGAATCTCATCATAAATTCTCACAACTTTTCACACCCATGCCATTGGAAAATTATGCCATCCACAAGTGGAACCCTTGTTTGCCAATTTCATTGTTTTTCACATTTAAAGGGATAGAGAGAGATTAGACACTTTTCTTGTTTCCATCCACAAAGGGAGGACAAAACAAAAATGAGAACAGAGAAAATGCAGAACGACTTCATATTTGCTTTTTCTTTTGTGTTTTTCAAAGGCTCCACCTAAAGATCTAAGCATGTTCCCACATAATGAAAAAGAAAATACAATAATGGGTTAATTACCCCTAGTATCCATGTATTTACTTAAATCTTATTTTAATTCCTTTATTTTTAAGGGTAAATTACAAATACACCTCCTGGGATTTTATTAAAATATGAATCGCTCCCTGTGGTTTGGAAAATTACATTCCACTCTTTGAGGTTTTTAATTTTATAAAAAATTATCCATTTTATTAATAAATCATTAAGTCAATTAACAGTTTTTAATGATGTTAAAAATATGTTTTAATTAACAATTTAGGTAATTTTATTATTGTATAGGAGAGTAATTATGAATTTTATTTTTTCAGGTAATTCTGTTAAATAAAAAATTCTAATAAGGGGATATTTGTAATTTTTCAAATCATAGGGGTTAATATGTATTTTAAGCAAACTTCGAAGGTATATTTATAATTTACCCTATTTTAATTGTGACAATTATTTCTTACCCGTTTAAGTCAAATAAAAATTCCACCATTTAGCTCGTATAGAGTAAATAAGGGTTATGAAAATTAGCATGTTTACCACACATGATAATTTTTTTGGCATAAGTTAAAAAAGAGTGACTAATATGAAATTTTGAAAGAAGTACAAAAATGTTAACGATGCCAAAAAAATATCATGCGTGGCTCACATGTTTTTTTTTTTTGTTTTTTTTTTTTTTTTTTTTTTTTTTTGTATATATGACATTAATAAAATTGATAAAGTTTAGCATGTTGACCACACATGACATTTTCTATACACAATAAAAAAAAAATGTTGCCTATAGCTCAGATGTCATTTTTTATCAATTTAATTAATGCTAGATGAACGGAAAACTAGCATTTTAAAGTAGATGGGATGATAAACTATTGTATATGCATAATATGTTGGTCTTATGTTCATATTCTCCTCATAGTATTAGTCAAAGCTATTTTGAGGAATAACACATACCAACCAAGGCGACCAATTGATCAAAGTTCATATTAGTGGAAATAGAATATCCAGCAAGAACTCCATGATTTGCTTTAAGGTTTTAAAATAAAATCGCTATACAAGCTCGACTTCTATTTTACTTGTCAAATAATTTTTTACCGGCTCATACTATAAATAATTCAAATTTGATCATAATTTAAAACTCGTCAATTTTTGAGCTCAATAAATTAATAAAAGCACTTCAATTCTATATTTACAAATAAATAAAAAAAAAAGTTATTCAAACCCAACTCGATTCAAGTTGGTTGGAGGTTGTTTGAAAAATAAACAAATTAATCTTGAATATATTTTGATACTTATTAATACTTAAACAAATTAATCTTGAATATATTTTGATACTTATTAATACTTAAAACTAAACATGAACAAATCCGCCACTCCATTTCAGTTCGATTCAACTCAACTCGTTTACAACTTTAAAAAAAATAGAAAAATACACTCAAAGGAAAAAGTACCAAAATATGTAACAAAGAATGAAGACTTGATGAGTCATATGAGATTATTTTCTAGGATGATAGGAGAATGACTTCCATGTTATCTATAACAACTATACTTCTTGGGTGAAAAAACAAGAAAAGAGGGGGCAAAAAGTAACATAAAAACTCTTCATACATGCATATCTTGACAAAACTGAGAAGTGGATTAACAGAAAATAATAAATTAAAGAATAACTATAAAAATAAGGTATTCATTATAAAACATGTCTCATATATATATATATATATGAATAAAAATTTAAGTTAAAATTTTGTCATTTTTCCGTTGTCTTTTTCTTTCCCTTTACAAATCTCAAACCCAAACATATATTTGGATTAAGAATTTGAGGAAGAAGAAGAAAAAAAAAATAATAATTAGTTAATGAAATATAAACTTTATTTTTTTTTTCTTTTCAAAAATTGCTTATCAAATTCTTAATCCACACACAACATCGTTTCCCTATCTTTGACTCTTACACTGTGTCAGGATCATGAATTTGAGTAGGAATTTAGGAAAAATAAATAAAGAAAGAAAAAATATGAGTAAAATGTGAATAAAATATAGCGATATTTCACCCACTTTTATCCTTTTTTTTCTTTTCTAATCCTTATTCAAATCTATAATCCAAACACAGTCTTAATGAATTACTTTAGACATAGCCTCTGTGCTTATTGGCAAAATAAGGAACCAAAGGAATAAGGTGGCAATATCTTGGTGAAACATAGCATCTGTGCTTATTGGCAACATAAGGAACCATAAGAATAAGGTGGCAATATCTTGGAGAAACATAGCATCTGTGCTTACTGGCAAATAAGGAACCAAAAGAATAAGTCGGCAATATCTTGAAGATTGGGAGAAGAGGAAAAGAAAGAAACTAGATCATCATCCCCTAAAACAAAGATTTAAAGTCACATTATTGTGTCCAATTAAGTGAATTGGACAAAATAAATCTATTTTTTTATTTTTTATTTTGCCTGATCAAAAACTATATTAGAATATAAATCCATTTGCTAGTGTAAAACCCGCGTGTTCCAATTAAAAAAAAATATTGAACAGCTCAAATTGAACAGTAAATTTTTAGTATTTCTTAAAAAACCAAAATCCAACAACAGTCCGTCAAACGAACCGTAATTTTTTTGGATAATTTTTTTTTATTATACATATATATATATATGTAAAGAAGAAGCAACCGTAATTTTTTTGTATCCATTTTTTATTATGTTTTTATTATTATTTTTTTTATAAAAAGTAGAAGAAGAAGCATGAAACAGTGGGACAGATGAACAGGGCGATCCCAAGGATGAGCAAAGCGATGGTGTAAGGGACTCTGGTTCCCTTGAGGAGATGCCTAGATGCTATTCCCATCACCATGCTTATTTCGAAGAATTTCACACCGTCCATCGGATTCCATGACGAAGCCAAATCTAATAACGAATTCCATGACCATATTTATACCTATGCATATACATTTTCGTATGTAAATATAATATATATAAGTATACATTTGAGAGAAACTAGGGAGAGGAGGTGATGTATTTTCTTTTGTTAATTTCAATAAGAAATTGAGTTCTTATGGATAGATTTTCATTCTTCCTATACAAAAATATACAAGAAGCTTTTTTTAATTTCTTATATAATTTTCTAAATGAGAGAGAAAGTGAAGTGAGGTGTATAGATCTGCTTTCATGGCAAAGTTTTAAACATCATCCCTCAGGTTCTCTCACTCCTCTCTCACAAATCTGCTTCATGACTACATTTTGTGTGTGTGTGTTTGTGTTGTTGAAATGTTTAGATCTGTTCAGTTTTTTTAATGTTGTTGTTGATGATGATGATGATCTGTTCAAATTTTGAACAATGGCGAGAAAAACAAATTGGAACAAGCAGAAAGAGAAGATGAGGAGAGACAATAAAATTTGGGCAGATCTGTGTAGGTAAATTTAAACAGATTTGAACAGATAGGTTAGGTTCACACAGATGGATTAAAAAAATTAAAATAAGATTGTTGTTTTAACAGATAAAAAAAAAATTAAACAGTAAGCTTGTGAATTTCAACAGATAGATCTTTTTGAATAGATAATTTTAACAGAGGAATCTCAGTGGATGGATATTCCAACGGATATATATAAATTTGACAGATAATGGAAAAGATTTGAACAGAAAGACAAAAAATTTGAATAGATAAAAAATAATTTGAACAGATATATATTTGAACAGATAGTAAAAAAATTAACAGATAAATTTGAAAATAAAATGTCATTTAAAATAAATAAAAAAATTTCTCACCAAACTATTTCATAAAAGGTGCACCTCTCAACAATAAAAAAATATATACTGAACCTAATATCTTATACCCTCCTTAAATTGAATTTATCACCAATAATGATGATGCATGTTAAATAATTTTAAAATTATTACAAAAAAAATGATAAAGTTAATACTATGAATCTTCTATGATAACATAAATTGGAAGAGACACTTAGAGAGAGTTTATTGTCAATTATTTATTTATATATATATATAATATATATATATATACACATATAAAAAATAAATAAAAATAATAAAAAATTCAGCAATGCTAAGAACACAAACCAAACACGTATGAGACATCTGGTTTTCATTCTATGTTTAGTCCTTTATGCACTTTAGACTTATTGAAAAATTTAATAGCATCGAAATCGTAGTACGATACCATATGATTTTATAATTAAGATCACAATCACTTTTATGATTCCATAAAATTTAAAATATTATTATGATTAGATCTATTGAAATTTTGACAGCTATTCCCTTTTGTCTCTCCTCTGCCTCACACACTAGAGAGACACCACTCTCAACACATCTCATACCCCTCTCTCTCTCTCTCTCTCTCTCTATATATATATATATACATGAGATGGTAAGGAAAAGCTCAATCACATTTTGTTGTAGAACCAGAGCCCAAAGACACTAGGTGTGACTTCCATCAAGAAGTAATTTGCCCTAGGAATAGATAACAATGCGTCAACATAAGCGACGTGAACAAAGCCAAATCCCAATGTATAAAAAGCACTCGTCTCCGAGGGCAGAAATTCAGTGTCTTCAATTACCATTTTGGCTCAATGAGATCACCACAAACATTCTTAACAATTTGAAAAACCTCCGGATATAATTAATCTTAGCACTGGAATCAAACTAATCTAAAACCACAATCAGAATCCAACTAAAATAATCTAACTTTTACAAATTGATGGTTATTCTCAGGTTTTTCACTAACAAATTTTTATCCAAACAAACAAAAAAGGAAACAAAACAGAAAATAGGGAGGAAAAAACAAGAATACCATTCAACAAAAATAGCAACCTGAAAATCAGAACATAGGCAATGATGAAGAATGCTGCATTGTTTGTATAAATAATCACTATGCTCTCTATACTATGCTCCAAATGGTCTTCACTCACAAAGTATAGGTAAAGTTAGGGGTGAGCATGGTCCAGATTGGACCGGATTGGGATAAAACCAGGACCAATCCGTTATTTACGACTATGCTCCAAATTGTCTTCACTCACAAAATATAGGTAAAGAAAGCCATAAAACAAGTGCAAATCCAAGTGAATAGAATGTAAACCAAAAACACACTCCAAAATCTTATTGCCAAAGGGAAATTAAGAAACAAAATATAAAATTTATAAATTAAAAAAAAAAAAATCCTAAAAGCTCTTATTTAGTTGATCTTTTGGCAATTACCATAACACCAGTCCTACTCATGACCATGTCCGCAGAAATAACAACCTTAGCTCTGTGCCTCTGGCTCTAAAATACTCCAAAGATCATTCCAACAGAAAAAGAGAGTAATGAATGATTTGGGACATAATGATAGGGGTGTGCACTAACAAATTTTTATCCAAACAAACAAGAAAGGAAACAGAAGAGAAAATAGGGAGGAAAAAACAAGAATACCATTCAACAAAAATAGCAACCTGAAAATCAGAACATAGGCAATGATGAAGAATGCTGCATTGTTTGTATAAATAATCACTATGCTCTCTATACTATGCTCCAAATTGTCTTCACTCACAAAATATAGGTAAAGAAAGCCATAAAACAAGTGCAAATCCAAGTGAATAGAATGTAAACCAAAAACACACTCCAAAATCTTATTGCCAAAGGGAAATTAAGAAACAAAATATAAAATTTATAAATTAAAAAAAAAAAAATCCTAAAAGCTCTTATTAGTTGATCTTTTGGCAATTACCATAACACCAGTCCTACTCATGACCATGTCCGCAGAAATAACAACCTTATCTCTGTGCCTCTGGCTCTAAAATACTCCAAAGATCATTCCAACAGAAAAAGAGAGTAATGAATGATTTGGGACATAATGATAGGGGTGTGCCTACTGATGCAGGATGTATCATAAATCCATCAGTACAATGAAGAATTAGGGTCAGGTTTCATATAAAATAGACTTGCATGGTTAGGAAAGGTAGAAAAAGCTCTTAGGAGTATTAGGGTTTATAAAGGTTGTTCTGATGATTCAACATGCTAAGTCAAATATAGCAAATACTAATTATTGCAAAAAGAAATTACATAGAAGCAAAGAGACAAGACAAAAAAAAGAAAGAAAGAAAGATAGAAACAAGACAATATGAAGATTTAAAGTCACAAATTCTCAGTTGATGTTCATTTCACAAGAGTTAAATACAAATAACTGCAGTCTTGAAAACAATTCGCGCCAAAACTGATAGATAATTTGTCATAATTAAAAGAATGTATGAAAAGACCATGGGTTCTTCTATGTAGGCCCCAATTAACTTGAGATTAACTTGGTATATTGTGCCACTAAGATTGTGTATGAATCATATATTTGTTGAAGCAAAAGGGAAGAAAAAAGAAGGCTTTTACTTTATTTTTCTTTTCACCTTCATTTTCTTTTGTCTCTACAAATCTACGGTTCAAACACAGCTTCGTGATTTTTGTAGAGCCTATAGATAGGACAAAGTGATGAACACAACATGACAAACCATTGTAGTTAAACTTGTGCAAACTTTCTAGGGTATTGAAATACCTCATGATCCCACATCCAGTTAGAGAAAGTTAGGGCAATATGTGAGCTTATATCCCTTCTTAGTCAGCCGTGAGTATTGGAAAATTAGACAATACTGTTATTGGTTGGGGCGTGGGTGTTGCAATTGATATTAGATGGGGACTTACCCCATAGTGTATGGGCTATGCTTGAACATACTATGCATCCTTAGCACAGTTTTCCTATGGACAATGGCAGCGGCATGGTGGGAACCATAGACTATGTGAGGACGTGTGTTCCTATTGGGGTTAAATGTAATACCCTGATATCCCACATTCCTAAGTTGTATATATGAGCTTACATCCTTTCCTAGTAACTGTGAAACGAAGTCCCACATCACCTAGCTACTAAAATAATGTGCAGTATAAAAGTGTGAGGGCATCCTCACCTCAATAACTAGCTTTTAGAGTAAAATTATATCCAAGATCATGTCACAATAACAATCCATTTCAAAACTATATGAGCCTTAATAAAATGAACAACATCATTATTACGATTGGTATTAGAAGGAAAGTGTTGTGGTTGTGTCGGACATAACGGGGCATGTATTTATTCAAGGGGGACGCTCTGGAGACACACCAACTAGTTTTTTTTCTTCCCTTCCTATAATGTTTTTGATGGATATTGAATATTTATTCATTTTCACTTAGATTTAAATACTTAATAGATCATTTATAAAAAAGATATAAACAATAAGTGTTAATTAAAAGTGATTTTTTTTAATTGTCGAATTAGTTTTAATTTTTGTTAATTTTGATTGTTTGTGTATATAATATTAATCTACATAACAAATAAAAACATATGAAAATTTATTTTATTGCCATATCCATGTCTCCAATTTTTTTGAAATCACTGTATCTTGTATCTGTATCCGCATCTGTGTCTGTACTTCTCAAATGTGCTATATGTTTGCAGTTATGAAAAGTTCCCGGGCTATAGAAGAAGATTTTCTTTCCTCTTTTAGGTTAATCAAAAACATCTTCCTTTCATTACCTAAGAAAATAATAAACATATTTTATTATTATTGATTTAGGAAGACATCCAAGTAAATTTTATATTTAATTCGAATAAAATAGGAAAGATAGTAGCACTACCATTGAGGAAAAAATAAATAGATAAAAGAATGAAATGAAAAACATTACAAATGTTAGCAGTTAAGAGAATCTCCCTCGTTTAGGATGGCATTTAGGTCAGCACCAGATTGGTTAGACTATCTCTGATCTTGAAGTCTCCCAAACAAATTTGAGGCACGAGCCAATGCCTGGTCGGGCTTGTAACACCATCAATGAATCCCTTTAGCTGTTTCAACCTTCGCGATTAATTAATTTCTGAAGAATTGCCTATCAACATGAGTAAAATAATACACTAATCACCAACTTTTCATAGATATTGTAAGTTGAAAGTCTTTGAAATTTTAATGTCTAGATGTTGCTAGGAAACTAGCTTTTGAAGCATCATAAGATGATAAACTGCAAACTAGCATGAAAATTTCCCAAAAAGCTATATAGATTTCTCATATACTAGAGGCTTATGTTTACAGATTCATCAAGAATATGAGTGCTATACTTCTATAGTGCATCCAAAGATCATGACCATTTAACATGATGTGCGCACTTCATTCTAGAAACTTACCGGACAAGACCGATATGATTTCAACCCTTGATATAGTTCATGGTATGAGATTAGGAGCTTCACGGGGCGAAATTCAACAGATTGATTGTGCCCTCTGTTGTCCATAAAAGAGATTAATTCACGTTCTAAAAGGTGCTCAAATGCCTGCAGAAGTCAGGGCAACAGATTACCAAAATATGCTTGGGATAGATTAGAAAGAAGCATCATCATGCAAAGTACCATACGCACCCGTAAGCATACATTTCGTGCATAGTAATCAGATGTTTGGAATGAATCATGTATGCTTTTGTATTCTGACATATAAGATAAACATAATAAGTAACAAAATATTGTTATAGTGGTACTTGGTAAACAATATAAAAATTAAAAATTAAATATAGAAAAAGCATCTGAGGCAGACCTTTCATTACAGAATTGAAGTTGTATGATTCTTGCTCTTTTACTTCTAACCTCCTCATGCAGACCAGTATGTAGAGTTCAAGAACGGAGCAATCTGCTTAAAAAAATAAAAAAATAAAAAAAAAAAAAAAAAGAGTTGAATTTGCACTAACAATGTTAAAAGCCTCATAAAGATAAGGCAAAAGAAAGTCTACAAACAGGTGTTCACAAGAAGGAAAGATTCTCGAAGAATTAAAGGATATAAATAGTAGTTAGCTACAGAATGTAAGAAGAACATGCTCAAGAAGAATATTATCAATGTTTCCTCTCTTCCCATGGCTCAGCTTAGAGCATTCTTTAAGTGGCTTTAAAGCCATATTTACGAAAACTGAAAAGTCGAAACATTCCTCCCTAAATAGAATTATAATTCCCACATTTCCCTCTTCCAAAACTGACAGAAGTCCAAAAATGTCAAAGGTTTGATGCCAAATTTTCACTAAAATATGAAATTAGATCCTGTTGTATATTAATCTTCCTAACCCTTTTAATCTTGTTGACTTAGTTTCTTGTAAAGATTTTCACTTGTCCCCAAGCTTATTCCCAAATGAAATTTCCAATTTTCTTTGAGGCCAAGCTTCCTCCTTTCATCTTTACACACTTTCTTTAGAGACCAGGATGCATTTATGCTTTAAACACAAGATGCATAGAAAAATTATAAATATTAAACTGGAAATATGTATCAAATCCCTCATAATGCTAGCTACTACAAACAACATCCCAAGGAACACAATTCAACATGGAGCCTGACAGCATTTGCTTTTATGATCCTTAATCTCATTTAATATTGCCATTGTGTTTTGTTCCTTTTAATTCGCCAATAAAGCACTGAAGAAAGCAGGAACACTACTACAAATAGACAAACAAACATACATGCAAAATATCAGTCAATTGGAGAACATTAGTTAGCCTTTTCAATACAACCACATATGCAGTTTAACCAAGTTGGAAGTGACAAGTTGATGCATCCATTCGTACTATACCCTTATCACAAGATAAATATGCTGAAAAAAAATAATCAGGGAAAAACAGCAGCATGTGGTGGACCATGTTTTCTCCTAAAGCATAGAGGAGATAATATTTTGAGCATAAACCAGATAACCAAACAACACACCAAGAAGATTTTGAGAGGACTAGAATTTAGAATAATGAGAATCGTAAAAGCAAAAAATGCATGTGAAAGGTCAAAAAAATCTAATAAAATACCCATACCTTTTAAACATTCCACCTTTGGCTGCCTTTGGATACTTGAAAGGGCAGCTTTGAAGTTCTCTAGTGATAGGAACCCAAAATCCAAATCCATATGACTAACAGCAGAGAACCTAGTGTCATGGACCCCCAATACTCATAAATAAGGTTTAGGATGAAATTAATTACAGCAGTACACCTTCAAACTAGAATTCTATGCTTCGAGGACAGAAAAACTTACAGAAACCTCAAAAGATGGTTGTATGTGGAATCAGAATTTGATAATGCATCAATAAGTTGTTTGAATCTCTCCTCGGCCAATACATTCTGATAGATGTCAAGGAGTTCTTACCGCATGCGCCATAGCATTAAGATTCAGGAACAATAGATATTGTTAAAATCCACCCACTACACCACTACCACCTCATCTATTCCACTAAATCTAACCCACTACACCACTTGATAGATGTCAAGGAGTTCTTACCGCATGCGCCATAGCATTAAGATTCAGGAACAATAGATATTATCATCAAAGTTCTAAAAACTGGCCCGGGAATACATAAACAAATAATTTCTTTCTTTTTTTTTTATTAAATAAATAAAATAAAACATCAGACGATCACACTGATTTTACCCTAAGATATTAACTTTAGAAGGGTATTAAAAGAATGTCAATCTTAACTGAAAAGGTATACAATTAAAAGAAAAGAAATTAGATAGTCTTACGCAAAAATGTAAATAGTGTATAGCAAATGCACTCAGCATGCAAATTATTAAGCCTAAGCTTGTGGTGCATGGGAAGCTAGTTAGTTCTTGAATGGACTTCAGCCACTCAAACTGTAAGGGCATAAACAGGCCCATTACAAACTGAGGTAAGGTTTAGATGAAGGATACTGGATACATGTGAAGACAAATGTGTCATATTATGAGATGTAACTTTATCTATCCGAACCCACCTGATTGAGACACAAGGGTTTAGTTTGGTTTGGTCTAGTTTATTTATCTATCCGCCAAATTCACAAATACATACACACAATTGAATACATAATATACACACACACATAAAGCATTAAATAAGTTCCTATTGATAAGGATTTATAAAATATTATACAGCTCGATGTACATGTAGGCTTCTCTTATATTCAAAGGCAATCAAGCTTGGCATATCCCCACCCCCTCTCAAAGTATCTTTATAAAAAAGAAAAAATAAATAAAGTAAAAAAAAGAGCGAAAGCAAAACATGAATAATTAAAAATAGAAGTAGGAATTATTGCAAATCAAACAAGAAAAAAATATAAGAGTAGGCGGTCAAACTCAACGCACAGCATCCACACCTCATCCCAACCCCCATGCCCTCTCAAAGTACTTAAAAAACGAAAGAAAAACAAGAGAAAAAATTAAAAGGGCATCTTATCGCAAATCAAAATTGAAGATCATTCACTCTCTTTTAAGTTTTGACGTCATGTCAATTTGAATGCCAGTACTAGCTTATGCCTCTTCTCTTTCTGTGAGAGAAAACAATGGATGGTTTCTTTTTGAAATAATTAAATTTCTTTCCCCACAAATCTTCATATGCTCACTCTAGATCTCATTCTTCTCTAAGTTGGAAAGCCCACTTGTGGTTAAACAAGCTTGATGAACTTTTCATCAAGTTCTATTTAAGGAAGTCTCCAAATGAAGATTACTCTAACAATGTAAACTAGATTTTAAGTGTAGACAGTTGTTTGGGTCAAAGTTCAAAAAACAACAAATCTCTAATAAAAGTGATAATTTTGGATTCATAAACTGTAGTGTCCTGACACAAATGAATAAAAGGTAATCCATAATTATTATTTTTTTTTTTTGGAGACATGACAGTTGTGTGACTGGCATTTTATTGCTCAAATAGAATTTGCATAGGGTTCATCATTCAAACAAATGCAAAAGTTAGTGTTGACAGTGTGTGTATGGTAAAATAAAATAAAATTTAAAAATTAAAAGTTAAAAAAAAATGTAAGAAAAATGAAGAATAAGCAGCATAACAATATGACATTCTAAAGCTAACAGAATATATTACTGTTCCAAAGTTAGAACCACACATGTTACAGAATGTTTTTCAGAATCTAATTCTTTTTAATGACTATATTTGAATAGCATTGGTTGCGTGAAATTTCAAATGATTTATTTGATGCATTCCATAATCTGAAGCATTGTAATAGATGTTGTATGTAATAAAAAGCAAAATATTCAAGAATAAATCATGATAACCTGAAGTATCTTGAATGAAGTTATTAGCAAAGTCTACTACAGCATCCTGTATCATGTTTTAAACTTAGAAACACAAGCCAAGAAATCTACACAGGAACGTTTATCTCCTCTAAAGCTCACCGTATTGTTTCTCTAATGATATTTGTATGCTATAAGCACAATGTTGGTTGTGCCATTAACAAAAATAAAGGGAAAGGATACAAGAAGCTTGGCATTGAACTCAACTACATAGTCATGAGGAAGGCTTGAATCTGTTGGCAATACTAAAATGTGCTTTAACAGTCTGCATAACCGACAGGCAAGAAGATCAACACAAGCATTTTTTATCTGAATCTTCAACCTGATCATAAGCTACAGCAGCTCACCTAAGACAGATAATAAAGAAATTACCTCTGCAAATCTTCCTTTGAGGGAGGAAGAAACAACAGTTTCCTATGTGAGAAACGAGACCTTACTCTTTTTTCCAAGAGCTGATCAGCATCCTGCAAGGTGTAATACCTAATTTATCAGTGTTCTCTACAAACTGCACAACATTTTACGAACCACTGAATGCATTTTGCATCTGCAACCCACGCATTATCGACGACGTATTTCACTTAAACAGGCTTTTAAATTCATTTTTGTTTTACTCTAAGCAGTTTTACTCTAAATGTCTTCACAAATACAGGATGCTGATCTCTGAATTCTGATAGAACAAATTTAAAATAGACAAAATGAAATTAGAAGCGTGAAGCAACATACCAGTCGGCAACTGACACCAATTACAATAGCTTGTGATGTTACAGACTGCATTGCATCTAGCAAGCTATAGAGCAATCGTTGTTTACCCTGAAAAGTGCCAGACAGGCGAAACATGAAATTTCTAGCAACAAAATTTCAACATCTGAACCAAAATATTCCCTTTGAAACCAAAATTTCTTTGAAAGGAGTTTTACTAGGACTATCATCCTTACAATTCCACCAAATGATTATGTGCATGTGAGCAAACATACATGCACACACATGTCAAATAAACAAAAAGGGAAATCTTACCTGCGCAAAGAGGTCAAATTCATCCAGTACAAAAATAACTGTTTTATGAACTAATCCACACTCCCTGGAAACAAGATTTGAAAAATGAGTATATGAATGGCTGATTAAAATCATAAAACAACCCGAATTGAATTAGTCAAGGTCTGAAGATTACATTAACAACATTTTCTACACTCACCTTAACATTGCTATCATGAACTGGGTGTTATCATCAAATGATGCCTGCAAAAATCAAGTCAAGATAATAAAAAAATACTGGATCAATTATGTTCCAAATGCATCATGTGATCTTAAATGGATTAGGCCTGTTACCATTTTTGAGAACAACAATTGATGTTCCACACATAATTGTCTGGAAATTTCTTGAATAATAGATAAGAATGAATGAGAGAAAAGAAAATAAGAACAAATAGAAACTTTTCCAGAATAAAAAAGCAATCCTACAACACTTTTATTTGAATTTCATAGAGAAGAGTCTGAGAAATATTGCAGCAGATAAGCAATATCACAAATGTGCATACTAAAGTAAGCAGCATTGGCTTGTGCCCAAAAACTAAGACACAAACTTCCAAGGGGTACTGTACATTGCTATCTGGCAAGATGTCATTCATGTTATAACTCTTATGCATTAGCTTTACATAGTCCATTGTCTTCCTTTCCCTCAAGAGTTTAAGGTTACAACCAAGTCTTATTTGATTCACAAAATCATTTCACAGAGTGCTGCCAGCTTTCTGAATTCATTGTTCCTTTCTAGTAATTAATTGATGCAATAGATCCAATAATTGCAAAGTGCAACCGTAGGGTATGATTTAATGAAGTAAAAGGTCTGTGCCATTTTGATTGATTTGAATGGTGAATTATTGCTACTATCTGTTAAAACATGTCAAATGTGACAAAGCTAGAGGCCTATTATAAGTAGTTTAGTTTTACCAAATTCTTTGATGGATAGCCATACCATACAGCATGCTATAAAAAGCTCTCTTTATACTAGCGGTTACTAGATACAGTTACATTTGTGTGTGTGTGTGTGTGTGTGTGTGTGTGTGTGTGTGAGAGAGAGAGAGAGGTTATAATCAGTAGGTTCATAGTGCTCCTATATTATTAATCAATCTAGTTCTGACAGGTTACAAATTGTTTTAATTTTCAGAAATGAATAAAACTTGTGGTGCTACTTTAAAAAAATGTTCTAGATATCAACTTTACAATTAAAGCTTTCATTGCAGAAAGGGAGAAAGAAAAACAAAAAAGGAAGAATCATGACAAGAACTATCAGAAGAAATTTTAAGTTGGTTTGGAGAACCTTGCTCTTATAACATCTAACTTAAAATGAAGAGTTAAAAAAACAAATCAATGAAAAGGAAGCCATGTGCATAAGATTTCTTTAATCACCTTCCCGATGATGACGAAGTGACAATTAAGTAGCATTCTACATTTTTCATATTCTTTGCATGGGAATGAATTTGCACCTGTTGCATTAAATTCAAATCCTTGTGATAAAAAAAGGGTATGTACTTGAAAAGAAATTAAGCATTCAAGTATCAATTGAGAGGCAGTCCCCAATTTCACTCTTAGAACTTAATCTGCAATTAGGGCATTTGGGTGAAAATTGATTAACATCCCCCATCATTTTGTGGGCCAAACTTGTCTAGTTGAGTTAAAAGTAGAAAGTTTTCCTATTGTTTTGCACAATGAGTAACAAATCTTTCCTAGATCTAAGCACCATGTCATACCTATATATATATACATATATATAGTACAAATGCATTATTTTCCTAGCTACAGTAAGTGGTTAATTAGGTTGTCAAGCCACAACTATCTACTCAAGTTCACTACTGTCTGTTCCTTTTACATGGCTCCAAATGCATTATGCATAATATCTCCTTAGTGTTACTGGATGCTCATATAAATGTAACTAGAACCCAGTTGAAAAATAAATAATAAGAAAACCAGAAGTTATAGCCAAAAAAACCCATCAATATGTAAATCCCTCGAATTCATCATACAAACATAACAAATGAATTTAAGTACCTCAACATATGAAGCAATGGAATCATAACCACTTGAAATGCAACAAACCAGGCAAAAGATTAGGAAAGGAATGCAAAATCATGGCAACAATTATAGCAGGATATGAAGTCGTACCTTAAGTGCGCAATTGTCATCACTGTGTAAAAGTCCATTCAGCTTTATCTGAAACCATCATAAGATAGTAAAAAAGAAGTATGATTGGACTTCTATAGCCATCCATTCAATCTATGATGTTCATAATTTATTCTCCCCAGAAAACATTAAATGTAAAAAGATGAACAACCAAACATAATTCTTCAAAACTACCTACTGAGAATAATGTGAACTTTTTCAGTTGAAATACTAAAAAAATGAGCAATCAGAGGAATATATATTGTCACATGAAGCATACCACTAATATCATGTCAGGATACTCTTTCAATAGATCTTCAATAACAAGCTCCAACACCTAAAAGTATTAAAAAATAAATAAATAAATAAATTAACAGAGTTACAACTTAAACCGGCCAAAACAAACTAATCAAAGGCATTGTGTTTTACCGCAATTTTTCCACAGCCACGGGGACCAAGAAGCAGAACTGAGTTGTTACATGCCTCAGTAACCGAACTTGATACTATAAACTTCAACTTACTGAAATTAAAATAAAAAATAAAAAATAAAACTTGAATTTATTTATTTCACTTCTCATCAATTTACAGATTAAGCACATTACGAAATCAATCAAAGTAAAGACCGGGGAGACGGGAAATAGAAAAAAAATAAAATGAAATAGTAAACCCTGTTTGGTTACTGAGAAAATGAACATTTTTTTTTTTTAATTTCTCAGCAACCAAGCGAAAGGGTTTAAGCATGCAGAGAGGGGTTTGGACCTGTAGTTGCTGTCGGGAGAGTCAGAGAGAGAAGTGAAGATGAAATTAGGGTTGCAGAGGCGGCTTCGAAGGAGGATTAGGGCTTCCTCAGCTCGTTTTTCTCGTCCCATTTTTTGGGTACAGCAACTCCAACACTACCAGCTAAAATAGCTAAATAAAAAAACAAAAAACACGTTATTTTAGCTTACCATTCTTTAACAAATCTCTCTATTTTAGCTAAATATTCGAACGAACTTAACAGATTTTCGAAAGAAAAATGCTAATTGCATAGATAAAATATTCATTTGGGGTTGAGTATCAGGAATAAATCTATCAGGAATAAATCTCTTTCCATAAAATTCAATATTAAAAAAAAAAAGGAAAAAAAAAAACATATACAAGTTTTTGCTTATGAATTCCCAATCATATAAAAATAAAACTCTAAAATGGTAGGTTTAAGAAGAAAAATATAAAGGGAATTTTATGTCTAATTGTTTCCTTTTTGAGAAAAGATAGAAAATGACTCGGAATGTTTTCGGTGAGGGAGGAGCTTGGGCTTGGCCTGCGTATGGAAGTGAGGTTGGTGGGATATGAAATGCGATGGCTTGGCGTAGCGTGGTAGTCTGGACTCGTGCTGGCGACTCTTTATTTTAGATAATGGTCGCATTGGAGGGCAGGTTTTTCTTCCCAAGTCGGAGTTCGGGGCACTGGTTGGGATGGGTGACAAAAATTGACGAGGCGAAGGAGGTGAAGAGGGAGATGATTGTGAGATTGGATGCGTCAAGAAAGAGAGGGAGATATATAAGGTGGGTTTCAGGGCAGATTCAACCCGGATGGGAAGGGGTAGGTCGATTTGCAAAGGGAGTGGGCCGTTTGGGTCCTCTGACTCAACGGGAGTTAGGTAAAAGAAATTGGGCTCCTATGCATGTGGACCAACAAAACCTTAATAAAAAAGTGGGCCTAATTGGGAATTCAAAAGTTCAACAGGTTTTGGACAATGGGAAGCCTAGCCCACCGATGGAAAGGGACCAACAATTGAACCCAACTATTCAACGGGGTTTTCGAGTCTTTGCACGACAGTGTTGGGTTGAAACATCGGAGTGTTGGTGGCGAGGCTTTGATGTCGGGCGGGAAGGTGTTGCGAGAGCCGCTAGATGTTTTGAGGGCTTTGACGGTGCCTCTACAGTTCGGTCAGTATATATCGGGTTGTAGTTTGGATTTGCAACATTCGGTGAGCACGCCGACCAGGGAGAAGCTCAGTGGAGAACAAGAGGAATGTTAGGAGGACCGTGAGGAGTGGGGGGAGAGATAAAGGCTCGTTGGGCAGATGTGGGTGATGACTTGGCTCTGATGGTCCAGTTGGTGGTTATAGAAGATAGGGTTGCAGATCTGTCAAATATGGGCTCAGACACAAAGGTGGACTTGGAGTCGAATTTCCAAGAGGGTCATCCACTGACGTCAGAGGAGGTTTCGGACTAAGTGTTGTCTCATAAGGTTAGTAAATTCTTGGGAGTTTCTTTTGAGGGCATGATGAAGAGGCTTTAAAATTATTTTCTATAATTGAGGTGTCATGGAGAGAAAGCATGTCGGGTGGTCAGGAATTGCACAGTATAGGCCAGAAGGATAAAGGAGGCCAAGAATTATGTAGACTAGAGTGCTCTATAAATTATGCCCACAATACGAATGGGGGGTAATAAGAGGATAAAGAAGGAGCATGGAGATTCATTGTTATTGACATGCGTTTGAAAATATTGACTTGGAATGTACGGGGTTTGAATAATAAGGGAAGAGGGTAGTGGTTAGATCGTTATTGAAAAGTGCCAAGGTGGATGTGGTGTGCCTCCAAGAAACCAAAATAGAGTGTGTGGAAGTGGAGGTAGTTCGGGAGATTTAGGGAGGTAAGCATGTGGAGTGGGCCATCTAACCAACTATAGGGGTGACTGGTTGTGTTCTAATTTGTTGGGATAATCAGGTGGTAAAGAATGAGGGAGAAGAGATGGTGGGGAGGTGTTCTCTGTCTTGCTTGTTCAAATGTGTTGAGGTTGATTTTCAATAGGTGTTCGTGGAGGTGTATGGGCCGGTAAAGAGAGTAGAGCAGAAGGCCTTTTGGAAGGAGTTATAAGCTATTGCTTTTCGGTGGGAGATGCCTTGGTGTGTCAGTGAAGATTTTAATATAATGAGGAGCTCTGTAAAGAAGAGTGTGGCGAGTTAGGTGACGGGGCCTTTGAGGGCTTTTTCTTCTTTTATTGATGAGCTAGAGTTGATTAACATGCCTCTACAGGGAGGAGGTTATACTTGGTCTGGTGGTTGGGCCATGTCCCAGATTAATAGATTCTTGATTTCTGGGGATTGAGAGGAGCATTTTTCCCAGATAATTTAGCTCAATTGCAGCGCACGACTTCTAATCACTGGCCTATTCTTTTGGATAGTGGGGGGGTGGTATGGTCTGGCGCTATTTGGTTTTGAGAATATGTGGCTACAAGCAAAGGGTTTTGTGGAGAAGGTGGGGGAATGGTGGAGGGGTTAGTATGGCAGAGATGCTTAGCTGTCGGTTAACTCAAAAGTTAAAACTTCTTAAATATGATTTGAAGCGGTGGAATCAGGAGGTGTTTGGTTGGTTGGAGGTATAGAAGGCGAATATTTTGTCAGTTTTGTAAGAGTTGGATGAGAAGAAAGTTGTAAAGGGTTTATTAGAAGAAGATGTGGTTAGTCGAGATGGTGCTCAGAAGGAATATGAGCAAATTGCTCGGATAGAGGAGATTAGCTTTCGTCAAAAGTCTAGGTGCTCGTGGTTGAAGAATGGGAATCGTAATACAAAATTCTTCCATTGGATGGCAAATGCTCATCGACGGGAGAATTAGGTAGGGAGATTGCGGGTGAATGGGGTGATGCTCTTGCTGGAAGAGGAGATCTGGGATAATATTGTGGGTTTTTATCAACATCTCTTTAGGGATGAAGGGAGGTGTGGAGGTCGGGTCTAGATAGAGTTGATTTTGATGCTATCTCAGAAGTGGAGGTTTTGATGTTGGAGCGCCCGTTCTCAGAGGAGGAGGTTTTGGGGGCTTTGAGGATGGGGATAAAGCTCCTGGGCCGGATGGTCTTTTTATAGCTTTTTTCCAATAGTGTTAGAAGGTAGTGAAGGTAGAGGTGTTGGCTATATTCGAGCAGTTTCACCAGACGGGGCAGTTTGAGAAGAGTCTTAATGCAACTTTCATAGAGTTGATTCCCAAGTAGGGAGGGGCAAAGGATATTAGAGATTTTTGACCTATCAGTCTTTCAGGCAGTGTGTACAAGTTGTTGGCTAAAGTTTTAGCGAATGAACTTTGAGGTATTTTGGAAGGACTAGTGTCAAAGTCTCAGAATACTTTTGTGGGTCATCGTCAAATTTTGGAAGCTGTGCTTGTGGCTAATGAATGTGTGGATTCGTGGAACCGGCGAAGGAAAGAGGGGATAATTTGCAAGTTGGATATTGAAAAGGCTTATGATAATGTAAATTGGACTTTTCTATTGTATGTGTTACGAAGGATGGGTTTGGGGAGAAATGGAGACGATGGGTTCGGTTTTGTATTTCCACTGTGCGGATGTCGGTAATGGTTTCTATCCTACATAGCGAGGCTTGCGGTAAGGGGATCCGTTGTCTCCATTACTGTATATTTTGGTGATGAAGGTTTTCAGTTGGTTGATATCCAGAGCGGTTTAAGGGGGTTTACTCTCGGGTTTTGAAGTGGGGACGTGGTCTGCTTCCTTGATGATGTCTTATCTCTTTTATGCTAATGATGCACTCATTTTTTTGTGATGAGGATGCGGCTCAGATTGGTCATTTATGGTGTGTATTGTTGTGTTTTGAGGCGGTGTCAATACTTCAAGTTAATTTCGCAAAGTCAGAACTGATTCATGTGGGTATGGTGGTGCGACTTCCGGTGTTGGCAGTTATATTGGGCTACAAGGTGGCTGCATTATCTGTTTCTTATTTGGGACTTCCTCTGGGGGGCTACTTTTAATGTGACAATGGTGTGGGATAGGGTGGTAGATAGAGTACAGTGGAGGTTGGTAGGGAGGAGGCGACAATATTTATCCAAGGAAGGGTAGCTAACATTGACTAAGAGTGTTTTGTCTAGTATGCTAACGTATTTTATGTCATTGCATGTGATTCCGGTGATGGTTGCTAGGCAGTTGGAGAAATTGCAGCGAGGCTTTCTGTGGGGTGGTGGAAGGGAGGGTTTTCACTATCACTTGGTGGCATAGGAGAGGGTTTGTCTTCCTAAGGTAAAGGAGGTTTGGGTGTTAGGAGGTTGATTGAAACTCCTAACTCCGACGATTCCCATTCGGAAGTTCATCTAGAAATCATTACTGTACTTATTTGGTGACTTATATATATACATATTTTTCATTTTCTTGTAATTAAATTTTTGTTCTTCCTTTTAATTTAAAAGATTTGCCAAGCTCCAACTCTAACAAGCCTGTTGATGATGTTGACTCAGAAATCAGTCTCAATGTGCATATATATATATTTTTATTTCAAATTTGTGTTTTTTTTTTTTAATTTTTTAATTTTCAAATTCTATTCTATCTTCTTTTTTTTTTGTGTGTGTCAATTTTTAGGCATCGTCTTCCGATGACTTTGATGATGTTGATTTTACTGACAATCCTGACTAACTTGATGACGATGATTTTGTTGACTTTGCTAATGAAATTGATTTCAATGATTTTGTTGACGATCCTAACGAACCTCTTCATGGCGACGATCTTGATCAGCATGATGATGTTGATAACAATATCGCAGTTGTGATCGTGAGTCTCTTTATATATCGAGTATTGAATTTTTTTAAATATCTAATATACTCTTTTAATTTTATTTTGTAGATCGTTTGTGCAAATAGAGTTCATGCGAATAGAGTTGCTGAACCTTTTTTTGAATTTGGAGCTGCTTGTTATGTCTTGAGAAATTCTATGACATGAGAAGCATCATTTGAGGTTTATGGAAGACACTTGAAGGTTTCAAAAGGTAGAAGAACATACTGGAGCATGTTGGAAGGCTTTAGAATGTGGTGGAAGGGGAGGTGCCCTAGAAGATTCCAAAACATGGTAGAAGAACCCTGAACGACCCAGAAGAGTTTGGGTGAGTGGTACATCCTAGAATATTGTATAGAAGCCTACCATATACTATGCTAGTGTACAAAATTCTATAATATAGTAGTGAGGGTAGTTGTCCTAGATATTTCTAAAGAATGTTCTAGAGGGGAGATTGTAGACCTTGGATCCAAATGATACTAGCCATCTATTGAAAAGGTAAATGGCTATATAAGGAAAGGGCCTCATTTATAAGGTCATCCAAGAGGAGATCCAAGAGAGCTCTAAAGTGAGAAATCAAAACCCCCAAATTAAAACGAAATCTTGTCAATTATAACAGAAAAGGACAACACACATGGCAAAACATCACGGAGAGCACTAAAAGGAGCTCAACGAATAAAAAAAATTGAATATATAATATAACTATGTATCTATAGAAAAGACACACAATCTACCTTCATACATATACCCTTGTATGACTACATTTATACATCTCAAGCCCAAAAGATAGATCAATTCACGGACAATAACAACAATAATATGAAATTACAAAGAAGGATTTTGGGGTTAGGGTTTTGCAGAGAGGAGTGAGTGAGTTGCAAAGAATGGTAGAGAGAGATTTATATGAGGAAGAAACTGTGATAAGAAAATGAAATGGCGTGAAATATCACAGTGAGGTACAATTACATTTTTGGGCAAGGATCCTCTGGGGTGAAAATGGTG